GCGCTAGTTTCATGGCTGACAGTCTGTTGGCTGACAACCGGTGGCTGACAGCCGAAATAGCTGCAGAAGGTTGAATTCCCTGATGCGCCTAGCCCAAAATAGCGTGTGCACTAATGACTGCACTTATCATGCAACTTCACCGTCGTTTCTTCCTTTTCCCCATCTGAATCTCTTCCTTCCATCTTTCTGCCACAGGGAGTAGAGACTTGAAGGATCGGGAGTTGCTGTTTCAAAAAATGCCCTTCATTAATAGGGAGGGCAACATGCTCCATCTCAACCAAGAACAATTTGACTTCAACCTTCAATTTGAGAGCCTCTTTTTCTCGATTATTCCCTCCGTCTTGTTTATTCCATCATCGCTATGGCGAACTCTGGCACAGATACGCAAGCCCGTTGTGGTGAATGCCCCCGTCTTGCAATTCATCAAAACAGTCTGTATGCCCTCCTCTATTACAGGGTTTCTGCCCACTGACTGCTTAGGGTGTCATTGTACTTTACGCTGGCTTGGAACTTGCACTCCTTATACTAGCCGCGGTCGGGTCCTTCCATGTTAGCCGCATGTTTATCACTTCCTCTATCCTGCAGCTTATATCGGCCCTTTTCATGCTGGCGGTAAGTTTGGTGGATCACAGCCGTAGCCCTAGACCGTCGATGCTGCTTAACAGCTACTTGATTCTCACCCTTCTCCTCGATATCGCGCGAGCAAGAACTCTGTTCCTGTCATCAGGCCCTGGGTCTGAGATCATTTACAGCAGTATATTCTGTGCATCAGTCGGGCTGAAGACCGCCATCTTGTTACTAGAGGCCTGCCAAAAAGCAAGATGGGTAACCTGGGATGCAACGAAACACAGCCCTGAGGAGACAAGCGGAATCTTTTCACTAGGCGTCTTCTTCTGGCTAAATAAGCTCTTCTTGGCTGGATATAGACATACCTTCACAATTGAAACCCTCTACCCCCTCGACAGCTCCTTCGACGCACAAGCCCTGCATGAGGGATTCGCGAAGAAAATGGACTACCCTAAGCTGAAGGGAGATAAATTCGCCCTTCTGAAGGTGCTGGTACGTACATTGTGGGTGCAACTACTCCTGCCTATTCCTCCAAGGGCGGCTTTAATTGCGTTCTACATCTGCCAACCTCTTTTCATCGAGAGTCTCATCACGTATCTGTCTCAATCGGAGCCAGCTCCAAATGTGGGATATGGGCTAATTGGCGCTGCCATACTCATCTACTCGGGGATTGGAATCTCATATGCCTTGTACTGGTATGGATATCCACCTGCTGTTACGGCATATTTCAGTGAACTCACGATCGCTAGGTACTGCCACCACCGACTGCGGACGATGGTCCGCTCCATACTGGTCACTGAGACGTTTAAAGCTGCCACACGAATCCGGCTGGGATCAGGCGACGATAGCGCTGCGCTGACACTCATGAGCACTGACATGGAGCGCATCAGAATGGGTCTCCGCTTCGTGCACGAGACGTGGGCGAGCATGATCCAGGCAGGCCTTGCCGCCTGGATGCTCTATCGGCAACTTGGGGTCGTGTTCATTGCCCCCGTGGGCGTGGTGGTAGTTTGCTTCGTTGGCTTAGGGATCCTGATCAACTTCACCGGTGACTCACAGCGATCCTGGATGTCCGGTGTCCAGAAACGGGTCGGGCTCACAGCCACCGTCATCACCAGCATGAAATCGCTCAAGATATCCAGTCTCGCTGGTCCGGTGGCCAAATACGTGCAGCAGCTGCGTGTCGACGAACTCGCTGCTGGTGCCCGATACCGCAGAATCATGATCATCGCCGCCGTCTTCGCATTCATACCTCAGTTGATCAGCCCTCCGTTAACCTTTGCTTTCACCCAGAAGATGCTAAATGCTTCAACCATGTTTACCAGTCTTTCATTCCTGACTCTGTTAACTCAGCCGCTCTCACAGCTTTTCCAGTCCGTCCCAGAGCTCGTTTCGGGCCTGGCCTGCTTGGGTCGGATTCAGGCATTTTTAGAATTAGAGCCTCATCAGGACTATCGGCAGCCCCTGGTCGAAGCCCAGAGTTGCAGCATGGAGAAGAGTTCAGAACAGTTTAACCTAAAACCTACGGATTACATCATCATCCGAGACGCAAACTTCGGATGGGAAGCAGACAAGTTTGTCCTGAATACTATCAACACTCAAATCCCCGCCTCGTCCCTGACAATGGTCATCGGTCCCATTGGCTCAGGCAAATCAACATTCTGTAAGGCCCTTCTAGGTGAAATCCCCTTCAGCCAAGGCAGCGTCAGGATGAGCACTTCCCCCCGTCACGTCGGTTTCTGCGAACAAACCGCCTTTCTCTGGAACGGTACGATCAGAGAGAACATCATTGGATTCACCCCCTTTAACCGCGAGCGGTATGACCAAGTTATTGAAGCCACTTCCCTGCGCTTCGACCTCGCCCACCTAGCCCAGGGAGACCAAACGAATATTGGGTCGGATGGTGTAGCGTTATCGGGCGGGCAGAAGCAGCGCCTGTCTCTTGCGCGAGCACTATATCTACCTTCAGACTTTTTGATATTGGACGATGTGTTCAGCGGGTTGGATGCTGATACTGAAGAGCAAGTCTTTCGGCAGGTCTTTGGACCGGATGGTCTCCTGCGACGACGGGGGTCGACGGTGGTTCTGTGCACACATAGTGTCAGGCATCTCCCGACTGCGGACTACATCATCGCGCTGGAAAATGGCAGACTTGCAGAGCAGGGCACCTTTGCCTATTTGTCAACCCATGCGGGTTATGTTCAACGTCTGGAGGTGGGACTAAAGCAGGAGGGTGAGGATACTACTACTAATAATGAGCCTGGTCCTCGTCCCGAACATGAGTGCCAGACTGGGGCTGGCAACACGAAACTTGAACCTGCGATCACTGTTAACAGGACGCAATCATCCACCCCAATTGCCCCAGCGGTGGCCGCAGCCCGGCAGGTCGGTGACGCCACTGTCTATAAGCTGTATGTCAAAAGCATGGGATGGTTTGTGGCAGCTTGTAGTCTGTTCTTTGCGGCCCTCTGGGGTCTGTTCACTAATTACCCAACTATCTGTGCGTCTCCACTCCTAATTATCTTTAATAAATTCTATTAATTAACTTGATAAAAATGCAGGGCTTACATACTGGAGTGATGCCACTGAGTCTGTCCATCCTGTGCACTCCAAGTCCTACTATACGGGGATCTATGCCCTCCTGCAGATCTGCGCTATTATCACCCTCCTCCTCCTGGGGATAACACTCTTCATCATCTCAGTGAAGAAAGCCGGCGCCAGTCTCCACCAGCAAGCCTTACACACCCTAATTTGTGCACCACTCTCCTTCTTCACGAATACCGACACCGGGGTGGTCACGAACCTCTTCTCCCAGGATCTCAACCTCATTGACACTGAACTCCCCGAGGCTACCCTTAATACCCTCTTTTGCGTATTTCAGTCGATTGGCCAAGCAGCTGTGATGCTCACCTCATCTGTCTACCTGGCCATCAGCTACCCGATCCTGGGCGTCTTGCTCTACTTTGTGCAGAAATACTATCTCCGCACGTCGCGGCAGCTGCGATTGCTCGACCTAGAGGCTAAGAGTCCGCTCTACACACATTTCCTTGACACCCTTAAGGGGATAGCCACGCTACGCGCCTTTGGGTTCATCCCGGATGACATACATAAGAACGCCCGTCTGGTGGACTCAAGCCAGCGTGCGGCGTATCTCCTCCTCATGATCCAGGAGTGGCTGAACCTGCTCCTTAACCTTGTCGTGATGGTCATGGCGGCGGTCCTTACGACACTGGCGGTCCGGCTGCATTCAAACTCGGCCTTCGCCGGTGCATCACTGTACTCACTAATGACCTTTGGTGAGAGCCTCTCTGGGATTGTCATTTACTACACCAGACTGGAGACCTCCATCGGCGCGATCGCGAGACTGAAAACATTCAATGAGACCGTCACGCCTGAGGACCGCGATGGTCCTGGAGAGGAGGACATCGTCCCAGACATAAACTGGCCGGATCGCGGGCTGGTTGAGTTGCGTGGTGTATCTGCCCAGTACAAATCCACTACCATGGCTGAATCTGACTCTGAGTCTGACTCTAACTCCGTTGTCTCTGGCATCACCAAGCCGCCCCTAGCCCTCAAGAACATCACTCTAACCATCCACCCAGGGGAAAAGGTCGCCATCTGCGGCCGCACTGGCAGCGGCAAATCTAGCCTCCTCGCTCTCCTTCTCAAACTCCTTGATCCGCTGCCCTCAACTGACAACGATCATGACCAGGAACCTCTGGTCTTGATCGACAACATCCCGCTGCACCGCATCCACCGCGCGACCCTCCGCCAACGGCTCATCGCCGTCCCCCAGGACCCCGTCTTCCTGCCCGACGGCTCGTCCTTCCGCGCGAACCTCGACCCGACCAACACCGCGACCCTGGCGGAGTGCCAGCGGGTTCTCGAAGCGGTCCAGCTATGGGGTTTCGTCCAGGAACGGGCGGAGGGGCTGCATGCGCCCATCACAGCTGGGACCTTGAGTGCCGGGCAGAGGCAGCTCTTCTCACTGGGGCGGGCGGTGCTCCGTGCTAGGATCCGCCTGCGTTCAACGTCCTCCCCCCCGGAGGAGGGGTCCGACAATCAAGATCAAGGGGGGATCCTCCTCCTCGATGAAGTCAGCTCCAGCGTGGACCGGGAAACCGAGCGGATGATGCAGGTGATCATTCGGGCGGAGTTCAGACACTACACGATCATCGCGGTGAGTCATCGGCTGGAGATGATAATGGACTTCGATCGGGTGGTGGTGATGGATCGCGGAGAGGTGGTGGAGGTTGGGAATCCGGCGGCCCTGAAAGGTCGGGCTGGGAGTCGGTTTGGGGAGTTGGTGGCCGTTGCTGGTTCGTAGCAAACTTTTCACAACATATGTTCAGTACTAGCTCTACCCTAGCATACTTAATCTAAATTGAATCATATTATAATCTCACTCTAGACGGCAAAAGTCAATACAACAACTAAGAGACAAGATCATCCCCACTCGCAGCGTCCAAAACCCGCCTACAAGCCCCCGCAAACCGCGCATACATCTCCAGCAAATGCCGTCGACTGACCCTCGAATGCATCAACAGATACCCAATCCACGGAATCTCACCATCCGAAGGAACCAGTGTTCCTGGTTCGACCGACAGCTCCGCCCGTGACACATGCGGCACGATCTCGGGCATCGCCTCGTACACCTGTTCAAAGAAGTCCCCCGGCACCCTCACCCAGTCGCGATGCACCGGGACCATGCAGTGCGCATTCCAGTACTGCGCGCCCCCGCCGTCGCCGGGATGATGGCCCCCGGGGAAGAGAAACGGGCTCGACAGCGCGCAGAAGCGGTCGCGGTCGTTCAGCGCGCGCAGGAGATGGAGGGCGCCGAGGTCCACCCCGTACGTATATAGAGTGGACCAGGTGCCTCCGGTGCCCGGGGGACGGACGTTGACCTCGATGAGGAAGGGGTCGGGCTGGGGGGCGGGGGGTGACGGTGGGGGCGTGAGCTCGGATTCTCCCGCTGCAACGAGATCCATGATGCTGCCACCAACCTTGCCATCGCCGTCGCGCACATCCACCCGTTCATACCACACGGCGGAATTCCGCATGCGCGCCTCGACGTGGAACACCCCCGACCGGAAGCCCAACGCCCGCAGACTCTGGCTGAGCTTCTCGCGGATCGCCTCGACCTCCCGGGCCGGGAACCGCGTGTTGGATATCTGCAGCGTCTCGGCGAAGTTAGCCGCCAGCGTCGCAGATCTATCGTCGCCCGAGCACGGGAAGTTGTCCGTCACCTCGAGGAAGAGCACCGCCCCGTCCACGAGGACGAAGTTCGCGTCCAGTTCCGGCCCCGAGATGTACGTTTCCAGCATGATGCCTTGCTCGGCAAGCCGGTTATCTTGCCCTAGCATTGCGACCGCTTGGCGGAGGCTGGCCTCGTCGGAGACCTTCTTCACTCCGGTGGAGAACTGGCCCCGGCAGGGCTTGACGACCAGTGGGTACTGGAGTGAGGCGAGTTGTTTGGCGAGGGCGGGGGGAGGGTGGTCGAGTTGGGTGGCGCTGTGGAGGCGGACCGCCTGGACTTTGTTATTGGCCTCGTCGTCGTCGTGGATGGACAGCAGCAACCGCCGCATCTCGTGCTTGTGGTGCGCCTGCCGCATCACCGGCGCCGGCTCGGTCGGCAACCCCAGAATCTCGGCGGCCTCGGCCGTCGTCACGACGTATTCGTCGGTGAAGGTGACGATCCCGTCGATCGCTCTGCCGCGGACGGCCGCTGCGATGCGGTCGGGGAGGTTCGCGCGCGCGGAGAGGTCGAGCGCGATGAACTCCTCGCGGAGATGCGCGTAAGTCTCGCCCGCGAGCCAGTGGTCCCGCTCGTCGAGGACGATCAGCGACACTCCCAGCGCGTGCGCCGCCTCGAAGAACCCCTGCGACCCGTATGTTTTGCCGTGGACGTCGTACATGCCCCGTCCGCCAACGACGGCTACCCTGCGCGGCTTGGATTGGGTGGGGAGTGTCCACGGGAAGGATAGCCGCATGGCGAGGTCGTCTTGGAGCAGGTGCAGGGTCTCGGAGGAGGAGTGGTGCGTCGACTGCTTGACTAGCAGTGCGCCGGGCGATGAGCGGAGGAGCGGGAGGATGCTGTCTTCTTCACTCAACCTGGGGAGATAGTCTCGCCAGGTCGTGAATGGGATCACAGCGGAGACGAACTCCGAGTGGCGCATTCTGAGGTCGAGAATGTCGCTTCGACATATGTATCCGGCTCTGGGTGCGAGGATCACCTTTACGACGATGTCGGTTTGCAGGGCATCTCCGTCGACGATATTGCAGGCTTGCCGCACTAGAGTTTCCAGTACGGTTCCTTTGGCTTCGGGGTAGTTGGCATGTTCAGACTGCTCGGTCTGTGGGGCGTTTACGCTAATGAGGAGGTCAATGGCGTGGAAGTATTCACTCAGTGCAGTTCCGCATCTTTGCCAGCGACAGAGAACGTTTTGAAGGGCTGTTTGTCGCGGGGCAAGTTAGCATAGTTATCATTAGCCTGTTACTTGTGGTGTTGGACAGAGGACTATACCTGCATTCTCTGAGACTCGGACCGAAAAGGTTTCGGACATGAAACCCTCGCCCTGAGGAGTGGTGTCCGCCATCATGCACTACCGCGTGGACGTTACCTTACTTGCACCGTGATCGTGCGGGGGTAGGTTGAGCTTTTCATGGATCTGACCTTCAAGATTCTGTATCTTACTGCTACGCAGATTTCAGACAACGATCTTACCATTGTGCGAGCGGCCGACATGGAAGTCCAGTCAAGCATACAAAGGCTGACCGTATCTCGCCCGCGTGGGTACTGTACACTAGCTACTCATGTTTTCAGAAGATACTCGCACGATTTGATTGCTGCGACGAATCAGCCGTGTCTGACCAGAGATCTGTCTGTGGCTGACAGCATAAGCCGAGTGGATAACTGGCTGACAGGATGACAACACGATAGCGTTGTCAGGACCCTCAGGAGCCTAGGTTGCCCACCACCCATAGCAGAGCAGGTTTACAATCCAGAGGTTACGTACGTACTCTCTCGAAATCAATCACCGAGCACACTTCCTTTCCCCCTAATCATGGTATTCCTCCTGCCCCGGCGCGTACGCGATAAGCTCTGGGCCGAGCCCCTCCCGCCCCCGGACTCATTCCAAGGCCAAACCGTCCTCATCACAGGGGCGACCTCCGGTCTCGGTCTCGCAGCCGCCGTGCACTTCGCAAACCTGGGCGCAAACCTGATCCTCACCGCGCGAACCCTAGCCGCCGGTCACACAGCAGCCGAACATGTTGAGACACGCGTCGGGATCGTCGGCCAGGGAAGAATCCGGGTCCTGGAATTGGATATGAGCCGGTACTCGTCGTGCGTCTCCTTCGTCTCTCAACTGAAGCAACACACGGCGAGTAGCGCAGGGCGCCTTGATGTAGTGATTTTGAACGCTGGCTTGATCAATGTCGACTTCAAGCTCAGTCCGGAGGGCTGGTAGGTCAGTTCCTTCTGGTTCACACTACAATAATGCTTATTATGTTCGTTTCAGGGAGCAAACAATCCAAGTGAACACACTGAGCACAGCGCTCCTGGGACTTCTTCTGCTGGAGTGGATGGGACAGCAACCAAACCATAAATCTAAAAGCGTCCCACCTCACATCGTCTTCGTGACCTCGCGCGACCATCTCGACCCCGACATCACCCCCTGGGAAGAATACTCCGCTCGACCAGGCGGACTCCTGAGATTCTTCAGCGAGGAACAGAATTGGCCCCGTGGCGCGCTGGATCCGAACTACGCGGTCAGCAAACTCGCGTTGACCTACGCGGTGGAGAAACTGTGCGAGAGGGCAGCGGAGGCGGACGGAAGGTAAGATCATCCCTCACCCTCTTTTACTTTCAATTCATGTGCGAAGGGTTTTAAGCAGAGTCAATGTGGTCATCAACACCGTTTGCCCCGGGCTCGTTTCGACCAGCCTTGGTCGGTCGATAGTGGAAAGTTATCCTTGGTTGAAGGTCCTCGTACCGATGCATCAATGTCTTTTTGGCAAGTCCGCGGACTTCGGGGCGAGGTTCTACGTCAAGGCGGCGAGGACATCTGTTGACGAACATGTGAGTGCTTTTCTTGACGCGAGGTGTTGTATAGTGTGCTGAACAGGTTATGACTGACACGGGTCCGATAGGGTAAATACATTCAGTCCCTGTTCACGGAGGACGAATACCGCAGGTATGGCTGATCCAGCTTCATTACACACCTATCCTGTGCCTTCGATGATGAACTAACATGTCAGAACCTCAGCTTGTCAGCATCCAACTTGCGCAGTCAGACTGCTTTGAAGGTCAGGGAGATAGTCTGGAAAGAAATTATTACGGAATTGGTAGCAAAGGTCCCGGTTTTGCAGGGGTTGGATCTTGCAGTGGTCGGTCATTAGATGAAGACAAGGAAGGTATTTCTGTCGCGAGAATACCACTCACACTGTCGTTTGGAAGATATGTTCCTATGCGGAGATGGCCCATGATCCTGGCATATGCACTGTATATAGGGCAAGAAGCACACACTCTGTAAAAGCAGGAAAGGGTTCAGGTGTGATAGGGGATTTGTGTCATGAGCATTAAGGATGATACAATGATACTGACATCAGTAACCTAGAGTCTGGCGGTAGGAGAATGCTTCAGATTTCCAAATCTTTGTGGATCTTCATACCTTAAGTATTCTAACTAGGAATACTCTATTAGAATTAGGATTATTAACCTCCTACTAGTTACTCTATAGGGTTATTTATATTTCTATATTAAATATATCACTATAGTAGATATTAACTGCCCAGAGGTGATCCTATATATATATCAGTAGTTGAAAATCTAACCTAGGTTAGATTTCACTCACTTAATCTGTAGGCATTATTATAGCAGGAGTAGAGTTGCATTTGGTGCGGGTTTGGGCGGGTTCAAGCCTAGTTGGCACCAAACTGCTGTGGTTTCAGGTTCAAAATTTAGAACCTGCACCAAACCAAGACCTGACGTGATTCAGTTGCAGTTTTCACCACAAAACCCACTGCTAAGCCTAGCTAGGCCTAGCTAGGCCTATACTAACTAACCATGGTTAGATTTGGTTCAGTTTCAGGTTGGTTAAACTGCTAATTTTGGCTGTTTTAACCCTTGCCATTCCCCCCTTCAGGGACCCCTCTGACGCCCCTATCGAGCATGCTTATATAAAATTATGATTTTTATATGAAATATATGGTAATTGCCATCATACTAATCTAGATCTAGAATATGAATTCAATATCTATAGGTTTGAATGGGTGGTGGTTAAAAAATCATTTTTAAATATGGTGGTTGTCAGAGTCAGTCACATATATATATATAAACCACCACTACTTTCATACCAACCTATGACAGAGATGATTATTCCCTTATATCTCAGCAACCACTAGGTATTTTTGAATAATACTTATATTACTAGATAGCGCTTGATTCAGGCTATCTAGTGATATTAATATCAATTAAAAATATCTAGCATTCAGTGATTTATAGGTAAAATAGTGCAGGTTGGTTAACCTAATCTGATAAAACCGCAAAAACCGTAACCGGCGGTTTTAACCGAACCCGAAACGGCTCTGGGGTAGAGAAACCGAACCCGAGGCGGTTCCCTATAGACTGGTCGTGGGTTGGGTTTGGATGGATCCGCAGGGGGTTCAGTCCAACCCACATGGGTTTTAGGTTAACCCATGACATTAGTAACCTGCCTTAAAATCCATACAGGTTAGGTTATGGATACCTATTTTACTTATATTATAATATATAATTCTAGTCTATACTACTTTTAGTAGGCAGTAAGATCTCTTATTAAGAGAATATTATAGATAATCCATAACCTAAAAGTCTATAAACCTATTAATATCACTAAGTAACTAGCATGGCAGGACATTATATTTCATGATTTTTAAGACTTATTATTACTTTTTACTTATTTATTTATATAGCCTTTACTTATTATAAATATTTACTATAGTACTATCTTTATTTTCATTATTTTTATCTAATTAAGAGAGTACAGCCTCTGTGCATATATAGGTTTATTAGATATTGGAGGTAACTAGTAGGAATATAGGATAATTATTTATTACAGTGGGAATAGAGTATTTAAATTATATAAGGAGTAGCTGCCTGTTAAAGTGTCTACTATGCAGGGTAGAAGGCCTGTCAGTCAGGTAAGGAAGAAGGTACCAAGTCAAATTGTGGCAAGACTGTTTCTTGAGGAACCCTCAAGAATCCCTTTCAAAACATTCTATTTAACATATAGCCTCCCCAAGAAACTTCTAAGTCCTTGTCAAGCGTAATCAATGATTTGAAATTGAATACGAGGACAACTCATCAGCTGAAGGACTAATGCAAGAAATATGTATCTCACCCTACCTAAAAGAGGGGGAACATAAAACTGCATAACAAATCAAGTCACGCCACCGATTTCATGGCGGAAAGAAACCGCTTCTCCCAGGAGGATATGTCAGGTAGGTATAACCTCAAGGAAACTAGAAAAAGAAGTGCATGGGAGAAAAGACCATAACAATTATCTCCCCTCTAAGGTTCGCTCGCCCTCGAGCGATGGAGCAGAATGGAAGACCCTGGTACAGGGCTAACAAAGGAAAGATGGGGCGAGGGAGAAACCGCGTTTCTTTGTTGGCACCAACTTCAAATTGGGCGTCGAGTCCAGTCGCACTCTTTCCTCTGCGAATCCCTCAGAACTTGTTCTTTTCGACAGAGATTCGTGATCCTCTCGAGTGCCTTTCTCCTTGTCTTACACCATGCCTCCCCGTACTCGCGCAGCCCTCACGAACCCTATTGTTGCAACACGCTTTTGGTGTATGCACTGTATGCGTACGGAGGTAGGAGGTTTCGAGCCTAACCTGGACCTGGCGCTCCGGATTGAGTGTATCCTGGACGCGAAGTCGTCCATACTGTGTCAACAGTGTTCCGCCAGGGGTACGACGTGTCTTCTGGTGGGTTCCCCGAAGACTCTTGGGGGAGTAGTGCTAACGAGCCTTTAGCCAGCAACAGGGGTTTTAGGCGACGCCCATGATCTTAGTACTATTTTGAAGTGGGCCGCCGCCGAATTCTGGCCGGCGATGGATAACGTTGATGGGTTAGAGGAGTGGCCCTTAACGGTTCGGCTGGAGGTCGCTGGGAGTTCGAAGGACCTTTGTAAGTCCTTCGATGCGATGGAGATGGCCCATCGTAAGTATCACGACTTAACGGGGAGTAAAGGGGAATCGAAGGTCTGTTGCTTCCTCTCGTGCGGGTTTCGGCCCTGATTAACCATCTGATTGATAGAAAGCCGGTCCTAGTTACAATGCGTTTCTTGCGACCCGTCGTCAGGAATTGGCGGGGATCCTTCCCCCAGCCCAGAATGCTAGTGCGGAGGCGTGGGCAGAGTTTCGCTCGAAAAAGCTTCTGCGTACGCTACCGGGAGATGAGGGTTTCGTTGCCTGGTTGCAGGCGAAAGCGTCCTTCCTTGAGAGAATAGTAGTGGTGGCTCGAGAGTGGGGGGATGCGATAGATGAGGTTGAGGGCGCTGATGGCGATGGTGACAGTGATGGTAATAGCAGAGAAGCTTCTGCTGATTACTTTGAGCGGATCCTTCGGGGAGACTTTCCTTTGGAGTTAGAGGAAATCTGAGTTGCCTTGTCGCTTCGTTGCCGGAGGGGTGCCTTTTCGTTGGCGTTTTGGTGATGGCGTGGTAGCGAGTCTTTGATGTAGCCAAAATTCACTTCTTTCTTTGCTTCCTGAACTTCGCAATAATCCCCCGGGCCTTCGCCATATCTTCCTCCGAGACCCATTGATTATATTCTGAAGGCCAGCCCTTCCATTTAACTAGGAAGTGGGTTTCCTCATTAATTTTGCGCTCATCTCTCACTTCTCAGACCCACGCAACATCTACGTAAGAGCTCTCCTACTACGGCAACCGTTCGATCTAAACTCTCCATCATAAGCATATCACACAGGTTTATTGACAGGGTTAGAGCAGACAAAAGGACACAAATACTGTCCAAGTTCGCTTGTTACAATCCGTGTCCGCCTGTGAGGCAGACGGGAAACTGGCCTGTCAACAGATCAGGTCGCTGAGCTGGGCACAAGTCTAGTTCATTTTGCACCTTCCTTAATCGCAGCAGTTTTTGACCGCGGTCTATAACTCATCATCATGGTAAAGTAGCACTAGATATTCACAGGGTTGCCGTTCATATTCTGGTACAGGCAAAACTAGTAAGAGCCTCCCACTGCAACTTATACTCGTTAGCGATGAATGTTCCTGACGAAGCTTCCATACTGTACTAACCAGGTACTCAGCTACTGTCTCGCGGGGACTTGCTACTTCAGGCTGTTTTTACAACGCATTGAACACTGGATACATGAGACAACTAGCTTCCCGTCTCAATATAAGAAGGACTTGGTATGCCTATGTTTAATTTCCTATACATCAGGTGCAGAATATTCATCTAAAGTCAATTCACCATCTCCTGCGCGGAGTAGCCAACCGTCAAGATCCTTCGGCGGCCCTGGCTTCCATGGATATCTGAAATGGAATTCCTGTAGCCTGTAGGGTGCCCTTTCAAAATTCTCTGCATTGTACCACTCCGGGTCATCCTTGTATCCTGACCACTTGACTCTGTATTGTAAAATGCCGTCATGCGTCCTAGAATCGAGGATATAGTCGACCTCATACTGCTCGTCACCTGTCGTATCATCTGCCTCCTCGGGAATATCCATATAGTACTCGTCGCGTCGACCTCGAAGGCTAGCTATGCTTCGGATGAAGTGCTCCTGCGCCGCGAGAAGTGCCTCAAACACCTGACGTGGGTTGGTGCGGCAATATTCGATGAACTTGGTTCGGGTAACCCCTTCATTTGAGAATATTCTCCCGCTTATTTTCCCCTTTAGGTACAGCTTTCGAGAGGCACTGGATGGACGGGAATGGGCCATTATGATGCAAAGGAACGAAAGTATGGCCTGCTTCTCTATAGTACAGTGCCGGGAACTTAGAGAGTAATAATGTCTTTGGTAGTTTGGAAGACTGCTGCTCAGTTGACTTCTAGCATGTGCCTCTTATTTTTAAGCGGTACAGAGCTCAAGTATGACTACCTACATCGGTGTGAATGAGCTGCCCTCGACTCTTTTGATCTTAGCTCCGTTCTTAGATAGTTCCAAAAGAGCTACTGGTTGTTGGCGATATTTAGCAAATAAAATTTACCCGTGAGTTGCGCAATGCCCTTTAATGATTCTATTCCTTTGATTGATCGCAAGTGGGACCAAATGGGGAAACAGCCGCTGAAAGGTATGCCTCATCCAATCAGAGAAGTAATTAGGCACTCAAACACACTAGCCACGTCCAGACTAGCCCCCAAACTAATTTCCTTAAAAGTAGATCTCTCTGAGGGTTGAACTTTAGTTGCGGGTTGAACTCAAAAAATACCCACTTAGTTGGACCCACACTGATCAACCTCTTTCGCGATCGATCATTGCTATCCCAATGTTCTCTAACGAAGAAACTTCAAAACATATGGAAGATCTAAATCAGCCACCAGCTACCAGTTACCGGTATTTGCTCGCGTGAACGACCACAGTCTGATAACCGATAGGTAATTTGTTCAATGGCCCATTCTCCCTATACGGCGTGTCATGCAGTCTAAAACAGATCCACTTAGCACTCGTATGTTCTGGAAGTTGGTCGAATTCATACTAACTTAGGAGGGAAAGTCCTCCGAAATTCCCCTGTAGGTTACTGTCGACCAATCTTCAATAGACATCCCGCCTGCTCGTTGGGAATTTCATGAAAGAGGAAGTCGAAACAGAGTCGTGAGCTTGGAACTGTATGGTGTTAGCCCTTCTCATCTTGTCACGCCTGTACAGTAAATTTTTGGTAGCCCGACTGATTTCGAATTCGGTATGCGTAAGGAGACTATCATCAGCTTCATTTCCATTATGCCGATGGACCTTAGGGTCTTAGATTTGTTCATAGAGACGGATGCTGTGGGTACAGGCAAAACTGTTTGCGCATAAAAACCGCGTAGCGTTAAAAGCCATTTCTCCAGCCAGTCATGCGAGGATCCTAAGCAATGCCCAAGTGAGCTGTTATGCAGATGACCTTGGAAGACCGGGCTGATTAGAGAAGCCCGAGGACGAATTTGAGTGGTTGAACCGAGTGCTGTACCTCTGGCCATCTACGTACTAAAATCAGTAAACAGAAGGATTTGAGCAATCCCACCCGTAATTCATCCCTGAGGTTTCTCTCGCCCTAGTGATATTGCCAATTCCATATTCAGCTTACTGCTCAACGTACAGGCAAAAGGATTTCCAAGTAGTCCTAAGTCATGACAGTAAAATGAGCAGATTGCTACTTTATGCTGATTACATTGAGTGTAAATGGGTTAGTGAGACTTGACTACTAAGCACTGGCCATTTATATCCTCGGAGCGAGCTATAACTGCTCAATGCGCCCACATATACAGTTATCTCCTCTGCAGCTTCCGCATATTCTTCCTTATTACGACTAGAAGCTACGATTGATCGACGTGAATGTCCCAGAATCAATCCAGAAAGTTGCGCACTCAGCGCACCCTGCGTCTGAGAAGGACGATCTTCAGCAAGCTGGAATATTTTTGCAACAAATGCAACGCCCGTTGCTATTTGGTGCTGCAGACAAAAGGAGATGGAAAGACATACGTACTTAGTACCACGGGATGGGATCCATCTGCAGAGCAGCTGGTGCGTTCTGACTGTCACCTTTGGGTTCTAGATGGGTTCTAACGCTGCCCAGAACTCGTATTTCCCTACACCTGTCCGGAAATTCATAGACGATACCTCTGGCGAATTTTCCCGATCTGACGTTGAATGAGAAGAAAATGACAGTTCTGCAGAATAGCTGTCCGCAGGAGGGCACAGTTTCAGATCGGGAGATCTGGTAAGGTCTATTGACATGAAAAGCGAAGTTTCCTGAAACTGCCTAGTCTGCCAGCTGTATATGAGAGGCCCACCCACCTTTTCTGTACTAGATACATGATAATACACTTTAGTCTGGAGTTCCATTCTTTACACAAATCCCTTATTCAAATCTAAACCGTTACTGGAATAGAGATTGCTTGCTGAAGCCTGCAGCAAGATTATGAATTCCATTGTCATATTCCAGTAGAATTCACGAATCGTTCAGTTTCAATCAAATGCGTTGGACCCCCTGAGACCCAGACCACCCTGTTGGGTGAAGACATATCTTCTTGCTTCTAGACCAAAACGCTGACTAACTCAAGCTGGTGACTGTCTATGTACCTCTTATGGGAAGGAAATTTGAAGAAGAGTTTAAAGTACATTAAAGCAGCGTCCTACTGATGAGTAACCTCATCAATCAAACGCAGGAAAAAGATACCACGATGATTAACTGACACATGGAATGACAGCCAGTACGCAACAATGAATGTCACGCTCGAAGCCGGATTCCGTGGACTCTTTCAGTATGATTCTTGAATTCCGGAACACTCGACGGGAGGTAATTGATACTCCTCATGCCACATAATCCACACTGTTTAGTACCAGTGCCAAATGCAGCAAGCTCTGCTCGGTGCAGGTTTTCCACATGATCCCAAAGTTTGTTGGTTTTGCTCTTCTTTTTTACACGGGTACTGAGAGGTAAACCCGAGTTGGCCAAGCAAAATGGGCATTGCAAGCGGTCGTATCTTCCGGCAATGATGTCGAGGGATGGAGACGCTGGGGTCGGCTGGGGTTGTGCTATAATTGCTTCGGCCTGCTTCCCTCGACGGGGCGCCTCTTGGCGATACTGCCACTGGACAAGGAGACGGATATACCTCAATCGCCGCTTGTAAAGTTCCTCTCCCGTAGTTGGTGCAGGGGAGTAGAGGAGCAACTGGACCAACTCAGCTCGCTCTGGGATCTGATAGTGATGCGGACAATGAGGCTGAGGATCTCTTTCCTGGGGTTGAGGCCCGTCTTCATCCCGCTGGTTAAAAAGCTCTGTATCCTTGTATCGAAAATGTCTCTTTCGATTCTTAGTCTTTGCTTTTTGTCGGAGTTCAGTCAGCTTTCTAGCCAGCTGTGTGTCCGCTTGTCGCTTCTCCTCGCCGAGTTCGGTTCCGGCCGCGTCGCGCACTCTTCGATAACCCTGTGCTCGGATCTCTTCTGTAAGTCTTCTACAACGTCTACGCAGACGCCAGACCTCGGGGTTTTGGTTAATCTTGCGCTTTTGCTCATCGGTCAGACCCAGGGGGGCAGTGTTGTCAGCTAGGAGAGTGGCCGATCGTATCTCCCTTTGCACAATTTCATTTGAGACCCGGCGATGAAACGCGGCAGCTGTGTCAAAGTCCACCATCTCAGTAAGATAATATTTAATGGCATTTGACTCATGGTCAGCAACTTGGTCTCGAACCGAGGCCGGTGCCCGATCTATTTCCAGTAACTTTGTCAGCTACAGCGACTAGTAGGGTGGAGGGAGGCATCCTACTGTTAATGGCATTGATACCGCCACGTCTGAGATATTTTTGGGTCAGGTTTCTCTCTTGGCCAGCATGTTCTCCAGTCCGTTTCAGATATCGGCCTGAAGTAGCGGCCTTCATGGGTATCTCGCTCGATGTCCGGTAACCCTCGTCGGTCCGCTCCGGCTCACGAAAGATTGGAATGTCCAACCACTCCCTCTTGATTTTCAACTTCATACCCCTTCGGTGTGGTGGGATCTTTTTGGTATAGATGCGTTCAACGTCCCGAATGTCGGGCGCAAAAATATCGTCGTGTAAGGCTAGTGCCAGAAGCTGTGACAGAAGATCAAACATTAAGTTATCTTCATGTTCAATCACATATCGCTTTCTAGGCTTCGGTAAGTGACTAAACCCGGCATGATTGAGGGCCTTCGCTTACATTCGCTTCTTCCGATCTTCCCCCTTTGTATGAACGATGGTCACAATGGCAACGAGAACATTTGGGCGCCCGGGTTCTGGGTTCCGGACGATGCAGAACTCAACGTGTCTCCAGAGGATGGTGCCTGTCTGATCGTCACCAGCAAGATATCCATCATCTGTAACAACACTAGAACAGTCTGACATGTAGCCGATATTGCTCACTGTGTCATCGGAAGAATCGTCGCTGGATACCTCGTCGAGCATGTCATCTTCGTCGACGTTGAAGCGACCACTGCGGCTTGACTCATAGCCAGAGTCGCAGTGAGGCTCACCACCTTGACCACAGGTTGGGGAATTTAGCGCTCCATTATTGTCTGCCTCCATTTCACCAGGATTGACCGGGCTGCCGTCCGGGTGTAGGTTGTCCTGACATCGTGTATCGAAAAACGAAACCGCTCGACAGGCAGTAATGCTCGACAAGTTGAGGGTAGCCATGTGGTAGAGCCTCTGCTTCTCATCAGGAAAAACTGCTTTACAATGAACAAGGTGGGCGGTCTGGTAACAGAGCAGATCAAGTGAATTTTCCGTGTCTTTGGGCAAAGGGAGTCTGCGTAGACGCATTCGCTTGCTGACTTCATTCAGGTACTGCTCCCAAGTTAAAGACCACTTCTCGCGCTCAGGAGAAAAATCTTACGTTAATACAGTCATTGGCCATTGACTCTGGCATATCTTTCCTATTTTTCATAAAATATAGCCGCTTGAAAGTCCTCCAGTACTGAGCGAGAGTCCCATGAGCCTTGATTGAACCGCTGAATTTATCCTCAATCCAATCAAACCAAGACTTGACATCGGCTGAGGTCAGTTTTCTTAGCAGGACATCCGGGTCCTGGCGAGTCTCGGCGCAAAACCTAGCAGTGGTAAGCCTCTAGAGCTCCAAAGTACTGATCTAGAGCTCACCTGTGCCATTTACCGCGCACCGAAGCTGCGCTCAGGTTCGTTCTCGGAGCGTACTGGGGGAGTGTTGGGCCATTTTCAATATGCTGTTGCCGTCGCTTAGCATAATAAAGATAGGAATTCGACCCTTTGCCATTTCCATGATGCTGCGGTTTTGCCTTGGGAAGACCTAAGAACGCCATTGTAAGAGAATGGTCCTCGATACAGATACAAGTGAGGATCCGCGGACTCACGAGCAGTTGACGGAGATGAAGCTATTTATAATCCTTCAGGTTAGACCCATTCAGCGGTATACGGGTATTGTTCTTTTATTGCTTGTCATCCAGTTCAACTGCCGAGTTGCTGGCAGGATCACGCTGTGTAGGAAAGCGTGGATGCTGGTGCTATAGTTCTGTTTGGTGGGTCCCGTTGAGCGCGTAACGCCGTTACAGAGCCGACATGGTAATTTTGGTGATTTAAAGCGGCATGCAAATACTGCCCCTTCAGGAATAGCTCCCGGGGCCGAAGCAGCCCAAAACAGCTACCAGAATCGCCGATTCAGCGACTTGGGCCCCTAAAGGCATATTCTAAATGTTATATAATATCTCTAAGTCTAAGAAACTACTTTAGAAATAGGATCTACTTTACTACTATAATTAGTTAGTTAGTAAGATAGATAATATAACAAGTAGAATATATATTAATAATAATAAGGACCTAGATTTCCTTAATAATACTTTTACCTTCTTAGATAATATAGATAATAATTATGCTAGGTCTATTATTATACTACTACCCTCTAAGCCTATTATCTCTTAATTCTCTAAGCTTATTATCCCTTAACCCTCTAAGCCTATTATCCCTTAATCCTCTAAGCCTATTATCCCTTAATCCTCTAAGCCTATTATCCTTTAATCCTCTAAGTCTATTATCCCTTAACTCTCTAAGCCTATTATCTCTTAACCCTCTAAGCCTATTATCCCTTAACCCTCTGAGTCTATTATCTCTTAACTCTCTAAGCCTACTAAGCCTGCAAAGCCTATAAAGTCTATAAAGGCTATAAAGATTATATAGCCTACTAAGTCTATAAGGTCTACTAAGTTATAGTCTTTAGCTTTTATATAGTTGTTACGGCACACTTGCAGTCAGCACAGAATGGTTAGATGAGGCTTACAAGAAAGGCAGTGCAGTCTGATGTATAATTAGGCTCAAGACCAGGAAGCAGTTAAGTCACGTGATAACAGTCCCTAATGCTAAGGGAAGATAACAGTCCATAAGGGACCATGACTACATAACACCACCGTGGACCTTGAGAGGACGGTCCATAATGGGACCTTGAGAAGGCAGTCCACAATGGGACCTTAGGATAACCTCAGGGTATGGACCAGAAGGGAGGAACTATATAAGGACACTTATTACCACTGTATCTAGGACTCTTAGTTTAGTTCCTTGCATTTAATATCAATAACTTACTTGAGTACAAGTTCACTAGTCTGATTTGTTAGTTACTCTCTTACTATTAAGGATACGTCCTTAATAGGCCTTGCTTCTATCTTTACTGTTCATTGACCTTGTGTTACCTTTGGATTGTCCTTGATCCTGTTCAGATCATTGTATCATTGCATCGAACATATACCTGGTCGGTATATTGTTAGGCTACCTGGTCGGTAGGCCTCAGGCAAGTATCGGATATAGTCCAGGGACTATATCACCCCTTCCCAAAGTAGTTGACTAGCAGAAGAACAGCAGAGACGGATCCCAGGGTGTGACAATAGTCTCTTTATAATACTATATATCTAGACTATTATAAGATAGCTAGCCTCTGAATTAAGTTTTAAATTATATACTTATATTATATATTTAAATCTCTTAATATTAGATTCTTAATATCTATTGAATTATATGACCGCTTGCCCGATTTGGAAGTGATTTGATTCCACCGAGCCGTCCCTTGGCGATAATATTCGGCAGTATTCGCCCAATATTCGGCATATATTCGTTCATTAATAAGCCGAACCCCTGCCTCTAGTGGAAGGCATAAATAGTAGCTATATAGTCATTCGTTTAGAAGAATCAGACCTTCATTGATTTTCGATTGGCCATAGAAATTGCTAGTGCCTTGTAAATCGATACAGTATTATTGATTTCAACACTTAGTTACTCCGTACAGTCTGCGGCTTAGATCAGTCTGACAGCCAAGAATCGCTAGTCCATATATAGCTAGGACAGGGAGTATTGTTAATCTGGACTCTGTTAGCTTGTTGACTTTTTCCCTTTCTCCTCTTTGGCTGTAGTGGATTATGATAAGTTACCTAGAAGACCATTATAATTAGTAGCTGTTTAGATGTCCTAACATCAGACTCATGACCAGTGCTAAGCTGAGTGAGGTCCCAGCTCTTTCCCCCTCCCTTAGCACTGTGCTCTGAGGGTAAGGCTATGAGAATAGAGCACTAGCTCCTTGGGCTTCGCAGACATTAGTACCAGGGGCATACTTGGTGTGCAAAATTCGAATGCCATGTACTCTTAGGCCAGGTAGGATGAGTATCTTCTTTAAACAACAGCCCAATCTGTGCTTATGGCTTTGACTACCGCTTACTTCTTCGTTTGGCTAGAACTCTATCTACCTGGTCTCAAACCCTGTATATTCGTTTCCGCCTCATTTTACGAGTCTTTTGATCCTGCCATAATACAGCATCAAACAAAGACAAACGCTCTGCCCCAATAGTCTCATCACACCAACCTTTCCAGAGGGCATGGGGCTCACTAGGACTCAATCTTGAGGATACTCTCAATGAGCATAAGACCGCTGCATCTGTTGGTCAGACAGCAGGTCGTCTCAGGCTATCTCCATGGGTACATTAGCCAATGAAAGCTTCACGGCGGCCGAAGTCACTTTGAAGATGAGACACAGTCGAGGGTGAATTAATGATGAGGAAGAGATGCCTAATGCGCTCTCAGCGCGATAGGTAACTGCTAGGACGGACATGGCTAGGCACACACTCAGGAAGGTCTAAAGCCTTCTCTAGAGATTTGCCTGAGTTTCTAGGTTAAGGAGGGGCATAGGCTTGGGTTCTAAACATGTCAAGGGTTGGGGGGAATAGGGGGTTTAGCCCTTTGATGTAGGACTAGTTACACTAAACCTAGCACTCCTAGTAGGTAATAAGCTATTTAATAATAATTGAAGGACGACTATCACTCCTGCTTATATCCAACCGTTCAACTCGTATAGATACTAACTATATTAATAATGTACTAGCCAGCCCCTCACAAGTGGAATCCTAGTTATTCCATGCTGGGCACCTCAGCTGGTAAGCAATAAGACGTAATCCTATATTTAAAACAATCATAAGCCTGGAGATCATGCTCTTCAGTCTTCACCCTCATAATTAGTCTTCCAGTCATCATCGTCGCCACCTCTGCTTTATCATGAAAACTAGTAGGGACATGATTCGCGTCGTTCTATTCGGATCAAACAACGATACGTCTCGCGATGGTGCTCCTGCCTTTAACCCGGCGCAAGATATCCCGTCGATGGCAGACAAGATCATCTTCATCACAAGCGCCGCGGGCGACCTCGGCCGACAAACGGCCATAGAGCTGGCTCGTTATGGCCGGCCTAGTCGCATATACATCGCAGATCTGCCGCGCAACGACGACGCCAAACAAGCTCTGATCCGCCAGATCCATGATGAGGCTTACGGGGACTTCATATCCCCCTACCTTGGACACGGCCGTCACGACGTCGACGACCGAGATCCGATTTCTCGATCTGGACCTTGCATCTTTCGAGAGCGTTCGAAAATGCGCCCAGCAGTTCGCTGCTCAAGAACAACATCTGGACATTTTAATACTAAATGCAGGTATCATCCGTGTCCCTCCGGCAACAACCTCGGAAGGCTACGAGATCCATTTTGGAGTCAACTATCTCGGCCATGCCCTCTTGACGCGTCTACTGATGCCGATGCTGCTTCGCACAATGCAGCGACAGCCCGGAGCTGATGTGTCAAGCGAGGGGCACGTTTCAGCGCCTAAACAAGGCGTCGATTTCGAGCTTGTCAGGACCAACTGTTCGAATCTGGTCAGTATTTTCTTTCTCTCTTCATGGAAACTAACTTATATTGTTGTAGCCTTATCCAAAGCGCTACGGGCAGAGCAAAGCAGGCCTCATTGGCCTGATGCAAGGACTCAGCCGCGACTACCCACAAATTAAAACAGTCGCCGTACACCCAGGGAGAATTCTTACGGGTATGGCTACCTCGTTGTGGAAAGAAAGTACCCTTGCACGCTTGACTAAGCCTATTGCACCGTTCTTCTGTGTGCCTGTGACTACCGGGATCAGATATCATCTATGGGCGGCCACGAGCTCAGAGGTGGTCAGCGGCACGTATTATGAACCTGTGGGAGTGCCTGGAACGTTATCGTCAGCCGTACAGGATCCGAATTTTGCGAAAAGACTCAAAGAGTGGACGGATAATGCCCTTGGAAGAATCGAGCCTCTTGAGTAGAAAGAAGATGTATAATCTGTTTGCCTCTACGTAGCCATCCTACAAGGTTGTTCAAGAGTAGATGAATTCCAAATCAATTCGTCGCTACCATTTACATATCGTACATCATATCTTGTCATCAATCATCTATTCATCTCGCGAGCGCAGAATAGCAGGCTCCAAACATGAAGTCACATCCAATGACTCCCCCCGAAAGGAACACGCGATATGCGTTACAACCCGTCGAGAGTCTGTCCAACCCTCGCTCAACATATTCAACACCCTCCAAAACCCATCAGCAAACTGCGCCTGTCCTCTCTTCTTCAAAAACCTCTCTAACCCAACCGCCATATCTTCATCTGCCGGCCCATATCGAACAACCGGGATGTAGAGCGTAACCTCTGGCACTCCTGCTCCAGGCAGGATCTCGAAACAGTACTTCAATCCCTGCTCTTCATCGCCCTGCGCATGCGCATTCCATACGGGCAAATCATCGCCCCACGAGAACATCCTATCGCGATGCTTCGGCTGCAAGACTAAACACAGAAGCTCCCACAGCTCCATGATCGCCATATCCATCGTGTGCACTCGTCCGCCCAGCGTCATGACAGCGATAATGCTCTCAAAGTTCGTGACTGGCGTGCTGGCATGCAGATATAGCGATGCCTGCGCGGGCTCGATACAGTCCATGCCCAGCATTTCGGGGTTGAGCGTCACGCCCACTGGATGATTATCCACAAAGGCCACAACCTCTTCGAAAGCCGGGAGGGGGTTAGTCTCCGATATGGGCCGGATGGCATCCGTGAATATGGACAGGGAAGGCTTGCTCTCGTGCGCATGCGCAGGAGGGTAGAAGTACACTTTTGGGATGACGCCGGTGTCGGTAAACTCGAACGACAGAGGCATCCGCGGCCGGGTGGTGTCCTTGTCTGTGCTTAGGAATGTCCGGTGATGGCTGGAGTGGTCCGTATGATGGTCGATTTGGAACGCAGAGACGAAATGCCGGTACCACGTAAGGTCAACCGGGGGGAGTTGTGCCGCTAGTTGCTCCACAATATTCTGCGTCGCTTGGAGATGGTGCCGGATCATACTGCTGGAGCCCTTCGCATGCTCGCCGGGTGCTTCCACGGTAAGCGTGAGGATCGGATGGTCATAGTCGTCCGTGTTGATTTTCCAGCTGTACTGCACGGCTGGTTTGTTCTGTCCGGCTGGAGGGAATCGGCCCATGTCCGGGAGCACTACGGAGTGCAGCAGCAGGAGGATCTCCGTCTGCGCCGCCACGCTGTATCCCGCTTCATCAGCGAGAATGGCCACCTGTGGACCGATGCAGTCCCACCAGGTGCGGATGTCGTCGTTGGCGCCGATCAGCCATGTGGATGTGAGATCCCACGAGGGCGTCCGGATAGTTTGCCGTGGGTTGGCTGGAATGCCAGAGATATCTCGCAGCGGGGCTTTTCCTTTGAGCTCGGAGTGCTCGGGGATAGTTTCAGGAATTGATGGTATAGTCATCTTGATCTTCCTTATGTCTGTATCTTTTGCGTGATGCCCAAGACGTCGTCGTCGAGTACTTTATACCCCTGCTCATGATGGATACGGGAGTGGTTTCCGCATGCAACAACGCCCAATGATGTATGTGTACCTGACGAGAGCCTGCATATTACTGCAGATAACCTACTGCAGATGATACAGCCCAGACGACGTCATTTTACAGAAGCATAACAGGACTCACGTCCCCGTCATCCGATCTGAGACTCTTCCCAGATATGCTTCATATCGAACCACTCCACCGGAGCGCATACGCATTTGGTATACTCCATCATCTCAGCAGCTCTATTTGACGGTACATACGTCATTTGCTGTTAGAAGCGACAAAGAATATGACAAGCCCCTTAGCATGGTATGGCTTACCGAATGCGGCCACGCCACGTTGTTGTCAGCATTCCAGTCCGGATAGCCCCATTGCGGAATGCGGAATGACATCAACGTTCTGCTTTGACATCCAAGGTAAACATTCTGTGGATATGTCATTGGGCTGCGCAATGCTGGCTGCTGTCTCCGTTCTCGTCGCAGTACTCTCTGGGTCTTCAGACAACAGACCTTTGACCGAATGTTCTATAGAAGGGTACAACATAATAGAGGGCACATTGTCACATTACTGGATTGTTCGCAAACATACTTTAGATTATTACTCTGGCCAGGTTGACCACAGACCCATAAGTTCGGCAGTTAACAACCTATGTACCTGTCTCAGCCTCAATTCGGTGACGATAATCAGTCTCGGGACTAGAAACCCTGGTTACTCATCGTCATATATCAATAGTACAGATTGTCTATAACAAACAGTTTTATACACAAATCCCTACAAATCAAGTAGGTATCCTTGATCGCGACAACCTAAACCAACACATTCTTGTAGAACAGATTCGACCTGCGATCACCCGCAACCCCCGAAGCAAACCCCAAGAACAACCTCACCTCCCCAGCCGCCGTCTTGTATATCGCCAATCCCTCCGGCTCTCTATACTCCAGCGTGGAACCGGCCTTGGTGAGCGTCGGCCCCTGCACGACCTTTCCCGTGTTCATATCAACACTGGTTACCTCGGAATTGACATTACCCCCGCTGGCCGCATACGAAGTCCCAGTCAACAGATACAGATACAGACCATACGCCGCATAACCTTGAAAGACGGACGACAGCGCCTTCAACTCCGGCTGCTTAAAGTTCGCCAGCGGGGCGGAGAAATCGCCCCTTGTCGCCGCAGCGAGGTCATACACGGCGATATGCTTCGCCCCGCTGAGGTGATACCGGACGATCAGCCGGTTGTACACCGGGTCAATGGCGCAGGTATGCTCCGTTGCGTCTGCGACGGGCTTGAATTTTGCCAGGTCAGCGGAGGAGCTGGTCAGCGTTGTGCCCGAGGCGAACTCGAAGCGGGCGAGTCGCTTGCCGTAGCCGTTGGCGTTGGCTTCGACCTCTGTCCAGAGGTAGGTTGCGGACCCAACGGCCTGCGCGCCGAAGGAGACACCATGACCGAAGTCCTTTAGGTACATGTGTCCGACGTAGTTGCCGTCAAAGTCGAGCTGGGTGATTGTCAGGTCGCCTGCTGTTTCGGAGGAGCCGTCGCGGCGCTGGGCGACGAAAAGGCGGCGGTTGACGTTGTCAAAGGCAAATCCTTGCTGGACTGTGTCATCGCGCAGGGTTTTGTGACGGTAGAGGTCGTAGGAGGGGGCGGATAGATCGAAGCGTTTGGATGAGGGAATGCTGGCGTTGACTGTCGCGATGCCAAAGGTGATCCAGAGCAATGCGGCCAGAAGGCTGCCGAGTTTGATGAGCGGAGTCATTTCGTGCGATTGGTGATCAGCATGACCAGGGATGAAGGGGCACTTTATATAACTTCTCCTTAAATGAGAACTGGCTTTTCTGAACGGTAGTCTATGACGAATACGAACAACACGAGAATGGGGGCCGATCTGCATCGTTTGCGGAAGGATACGATGTGATGGTCAGTTTAATGGCCCACTTGACTTGGCAGTGCTATTTTCAGAGTTAAGATTACCCCTAGAAGCCGGTCTTGTGTTCTCACGCCTGTTGAACAATTCAGCCCGTCCTGCTCTGATAGACGGCAAAGCGGTATATTATAGAGCTCTGTGAAAAACGTCCAATGAGGGCTAGGCTGCGATGCAACTCCAACAAGCAATCTTATTCAGGCATCTGAGCCTTACTCAATTAAACATACGTGCGGAAGTGATTTTACAGTCTTTTGACAGTTTCGATCTTGACTGAGCATTCCTCACATGTCCACTATGATCCTTATGTATCAGGAAGTGCCTGGAAGCAAGACTTGTATATCTCTCTGAGTAAACAGTGTAGCCTTTCAGTGTCATCTTTGAAGAATAGGTCATGATCCAGTTGGCACAGATATATAAAATTGTGGTATCCATTTGCTTGTGTATGCTACGGCGGTGCATATATATAACTTTGAGAATACATCTCCAGGATATAGTACGATAAAGACGATTGACTGCAGACCTCGGGGATCAACATACCGAAATGCAAGACAAGCATAATTTCTCCACCGGTTATAACCCTCGAGGCTGTACCCCGCAGCATTCAGGCTTAATGTCCTTGGCATGAAGATATAGACCCAGAGATCCTGAAGGTCAGTGGCATCAGCACTCACAATGCGTTCATTGCTCTTTTTCCATGCTTTGCGGCTTGTGGCAGCCTTTGCATGTCACACAGACGAAGACTGCAGCTGGACAGGCGTCTGTTCAAAAACCCACCAATGCATCTGTGACCCTGGCTGGCGCGCTGCTGACTGCAGCGAGTTGGACCTGCAACCTGTCGACCGAAACACCGGCTACAACCATACCAACATCACCCTGCCGGACTTCTACCGCGACGGCGCAGGCAATTCCTCCTGGGGTGGACATATCATCCACGACCGGGATGACCCTACGCTTTTCCATTTGATTATCTCCCAGATCGACCGAGGCTGCGGACTCTCAGGCTGGAGACCGTTCAGCACCATCATCCGCGCAGAGTCACGTACCGGACCAAGAGGACCCTACACCTTCGCCCAGGAACTCTTCGGCACATTCCACCACAACCCAGCCATAACCTGGAGTCCAGCCGACAAACTGTACCTGATGCACTTCATCGGACTCGACTGGGACCCCCCGACAACCTGCCGTTCGATCAAACGCAACAATACCATTTCCGTCTCGACCTCGCCGGACCTCCGCGTCTGGAGCGAGCCCATCGAGCTCCTGGTGAATGTTACCAATCCCGCTGCCTGGCCCCTCTGGTCCCCACATCATCACACAAGCGAGATCCTCCTTGCGACAGAAAAGAACAACATCTACACTGCAACCAGCTACAGGGGACCGTATTCCCTGCGCTTCGAGCCGGGGTTTACCGAAATCGACCCCTCCCTGCGCAGCGAGGACCCGTTCCTCTGGCGCGACAAGCGCGGACACTGGCACTTCCTCGTGCACCACATGGTCGATATTGCTTTAGGTCAAAAGGGCCCGCGTGTCGGCGCGCATGTGTTTGCGAGGGACTGGCGCGGTCCGTGGCATTATAATAATATCACGCTGGCGTATAATACCACAGTGGAGTTTACCGATAGGAGTAGAGTGGATTACTATCGGAGGGAACGGCCGAAGCTGTTTTTCAGCGAGGATGGTGAGATGACACCGTTGTATTTGGTGAATGGGGTGCAGGAGTCTGGGAGTAAGGCGAGTTATACATTGATTCAGCCGATTGGGAGGAAGTGGAGGGAGTATGAGCTGCAGTACGGTCAAGTTAAAGCAAGTGGATGATAGTGATTATAGTTGATCCTCAACCTATTGAACAATATTACTTCCAAACAGTGGTCGCTCCAATCGCCTCCCCCGACTTTGGCAGCAAGAAATCACTGGCCTTGATCCTCCCATCTGCCTGTCTAGCACCCTGCACCAGACTCACATCCACACTCTTGAAGCTACTATTCGACCACGACGAACTTCCATCCCAGGAATTCCCTGAGGAAATCTGCTTCGAACTCAAAACTGTAGCACTCTCCCCATTAACCGCGGCAACATTTCCCTTGAGCGTAGCCACAGCCGTGTTAAACTTGAAGCCCACCTTGGCATTGTTCCACGCCGTGTTGCGGCTGAGCGTGAAATCGCCCGTCTGCGAGTTATCTGTGAAGCCATCCTTGACGTTTCCAAAGGCAATGCAGTTGGTAATGACATGGTTCGCGGGGCCCTTGTCCGCTGCGTCGCCGCCGCCGAGTTTGAACCCGTTGCCGTCGCCTTCGAACGGTGAGAAGCCCCATCTACAAAGTCAGCTGCATTAACATTAACCATATAACAAGTGGCAGCGTACCGATTATATCCATTCCCCCAGGAGATAGTATCCTCGATCGTCACCGCAGACTTGAACTCCCACAGATCCAACCCGTCGTCGACATTATTCCACAGCCTCGCACCCTTGAGGAGGTTGCCCTCTCCCGAGCCTTCCTTGCAGGCGAAGCCGTCGGCGCTCTCACCGTTCTTGCGGGGGTCCCTGTTACCGTAGGAGTCGAGGTAGAGGACTTTGTTGTTGGAGGACAAGCCCTGCAGTTGGAAGCCTGGTTACTGGTCAGCAATGCTTGCTGCAGCCTCCAGGCAGAGCAACGTACCAGTCTCGTAGTTATCCCTGGTAATAAGCCGCTCGTAGTGATTGTTCGACGCATCCCGCGCATACACGCCGTACGGGCCATGGATCAGCTCCAGGTCGTAGAACTGCCAATAATTCGCGTTCTGGATGTGAAGGATGCCGCGGTCTTCGTTGGGGAGGGAGGCGTCGAGTGGTGCCGGTGTTCTATTTCATCAGCAAGCGACTAGTACAAATGACGGACGACCTACCCTGGCAGAGCTTCTCCATCGATAATGACCTTCTCACCCTCGTAGGCGCGCAGGGTGTATGGCTTGCTCGATGTCCCGCTCTTGGTGATCTGGATGTTGCTGGTGGGCGAGTACGTCCCCCCGCGAAGGTAGATGGTATCGCCTGGCTTTGCGAGGTTGACAGCGGACTGAATGGAGTTCAGGGGAGAGGTGATGCTCCCTGAGCCACTGCTGGATCCTTTGGGAGAGACATAAATGGACGCGGCGAGCGCTGTGGGCAGAAGCCCGAGGAGGATTTGGAAGTACTTCATTTGTGCCGCTGGTTGCTTCGTCACGACACGAAGTACATCAGCCACTCCCCAGTCTTTATATATCTATACCCGAGTTCTACCCTATTGCTGGAAAAACAAGACACTCACCGGGGCTTGAGAGCAGCCAAGACTTCATCACAATATAAAACAATCATTCCGCTGCAGGGACTTTGCTTGGCGTTTCACATTTCCCGGGTGTGATTTGTGCAGAATCTGGGGATATTGTGCCATTGTCCAAGTATAGATATGATCGTCACCTTACGGGGTAACTGTCGGGTCAAACGCCGGCATGAAACCCGCTTAATACGGTGTACGGGCAATGTCCGTACTAACTAGACAACTACTGACTCGCGGAATAATCAATTGCTGACGATACTCGGCTTTTGGAATTGCGTAGACCGAGATTGACACAGGATTTTCGCTGCAGAGTGTAGTCAATGACTACCCTGCCTCTCCTTCAACGCCCACTCCAATAACTCCGGATACCACCGCCGTCCCACATCCTGATGACTCGTGATCCGATGGATCAGCGTTCCCTCGCCTGTCTTCCCCTGAAACTTCTTATTAAACGTAGCCTCCGCATCCGACCGAACCTGCTGATCCTTGACTAGCTCTCTAATATGCGCCGGAATATCCAGGTGGATATCTTCCGCACACAACTCGAGACTCATCCCCTGAAAAACCGGAAAGGAGAACCTCGGCCCCAGTGGCTTTCCGTCTGCATTTATAAAATTCTCCGGCCGTAGATTGACTCGATGCGTGGTGGCCGTACACACTCCCCCAGTGACTGCCTCCAGTGCCCGTCCAATATTCACCACCAGCGAGCCATCCAGCGGCGGTGCTGGGATCCAATTCCCGGACTTGTTCTGTACTTCAAGCCCTGAGTGAGGAGTCGCCTGCAGCAGAAAGGTGAGAAATTCAGAGTCCTTGTGCGCGCCGACGCCTTGCGCCTGGGATGCGCTGCTGGGTGGTGGATATTTGATGAGTTTGAGTTTGTGCTGGGGAGGGTGGTCGAAGAAGGGGTAGAGAGCGTTTGAGGGGAGATCCAGCGCTTCTGCAATGAGGGACTTGAAGGCCTCTGCCAGGGGACTGATTTCAGCCAGGTAGGCTTCGATGGCCTTCCGGAAGCCTGGGATAGAGGCTTCATCCGGCCACTGGTTTGGTCCCCGAATGTTTCTGTAGAGGGGCTCGTCTGGTCCAGGTGCCGGAAGTTCCGTTGCAAACTGTCCTATCGTTAGACTACTGCCTATCTTGGTGACTGTAGTAGGTGGGCACTTACATCGAACTGCTCCCGGTAATCTGTTTTGGAGGCGGTCGTCTCCGCACCGAGACGGGAATAGCCCAGGAAGTGCTTGCTGTTGACCATTTCGATCTCGAGTTTCTTTTTCAGCGGCAGATCAAATAGTGCGAGGGATTTTTCGATGAACGCCTGCTGGATATGAGGCGCAATCGGGGTGTGGATGAGATAGAAGAACCCCACATTGACCACAGCATTGCGCAGCTCCGAGAGAAAACGAGGTTTTGTGTCTGGCGATGCCGATAGCGAGAAGTCGAGAACCGGAATGGTTGTAAATGACTGTGCAGATGATGAACCCATGGTGTGTTCTATGATATTGACAGAGGATGATGTTGTTGCAAAAATTGATGCTTTGATGCTTGATGCCCCGCGATGGCGTAATCAACATTAACTGATCTCCGCCCGGTGCTTTACTATCTATTCATACCATGACTTTTATACCAGACACAGAATATCAAAGAATCTGAATGCCAGTCTGCCACCACTTCTCTCCCGTCCACAATCGAACATAACTTCTCGTTCCCACAAACCAGCCTTCACCCTCAATCAAGCCCAATCCCCGAATAATACTGATTGGACATGCCTCATCATACAACCATGTCCCAGCGGCAGCCAGTTCATCGCAGAAAGGTCCGATAACGAGATATAACCACGCATATGTCGAGATGATGTTGAATGCTCTCCAGAAAGTACTTCCTTCCGAGAATAATATCCCCCGTAATTTTCTCTGGATGAGCATCCCCAGCGGCTGAAGCATAAAAAAGAGTAGAGCTCCAAAATATACAGAGTCCGGGGCGACAAAATGCGAATGAACAGCGCAGAAATGAACCAGTCCACTCAATAGAAACGCGACGGAATGTCTCAGAAATCTGGTCATATCTTTATTTTCGAAGTTGGGGACAACATAACGCGCTGTCTCTGAGAAGGCATATCGGTAAGCCTGATGCCAACGCCTTCCCCACCAGCCGTCCAGACCATAGTCGAAGACTGGTTTGAAATCCCAAAAGCTATTGAACAGAGGAGGATATAACCACGGTGCGTCGAGGGGTACACGGCTCCATTTGACAAGACCCGGACAGACAGTGACAGCCAGACTGATGATGAGAGGCACCGTGGAGGCTATAAAGGCCATGCTCGTGCGGATCCAGACAACTGTTACGACTGCGCGGAAGAGCCGTAAGAGGGCCGGTGAAAAGTGGTATATTTTGTCGAGGGGGTAGAGAGGAGCGGCATCGATGAGTCCCCAGAAATAGGGGTCCACCATGGTGAGGACTTTCAAGATATCCATCACCAGGTAGTAGCGAGCTGTCCTCATGATAGAGGACCGAAGAAGAGTCGACGATGGCGCCTCCTGAGGTAACTCCTTACCGTCCGTAGATGTCAGCTCATCCTTGGAACTGATCTTTGGAAGCGGAGGTAGACCAGGAATCCTCCAGTTCCAGCCTGCACCACGCAGACTGCCGAACATATCCAGAAGCCAGCTTAGTCGGTGGCATATCGAGTGTGGATAGCCTTGCCAATAGAGGGTCCCATTTGACGGTCGCTCAATTCGGGAACACTCGTTCTGGATGTCCTTGAAGAGGAGGAATATGGCATTCCAGATAACTACAAAGACGTAGTAAAAGCCGATGACAGTGCCTCCACCGGTGAGACATCGCGTGTGCAGCAGGTTATTGATTGCAAGGGAGCATACGAGTCCGAATGCTGTCCGTCTGACAACGACCACCCATGACTGGCCTTTGTTGGGTATCAGCAGCACCAAAACGGGAATGATCAGCACGAGAAAATCATGCGGGAACAGCCATGGGGAAATGACTCCTTGATCAATCAAAGAAAAGAACTCAGCTTCTTTCTGACGAAGGAATTCCCTGTATGGAACTGCCGATATTGACATGATTCATATGAGAATAATGGAACTTGTGTACGATGAGGTTGAGTTGGAGGAGGATGAAAAAAAGTAAGGGATTTGGGCATCGTCATGGTAACCAACACATCCCACTGTCGATCTGTGGCGTGGAGTATTTGCTTTTTCTAAGACAGGGCTGAACTAGAGGATCAGCGGCGGTAAACAAAGCTTATTATAAACAATATGTACTTAAGGTTATCTTGATGATATTAATAAGGCAATTAGATCATCTAGTAGATCGTTTGATCTAGCGCTGGTGGAGTAAGTTGCAAAGAAGTGCCTTAAGTCACTGACTGTATAATTAGACCAACAAAGTTTCCACGCAGTAATTATCACAATAGCAATGCAATATTCCAATTATAAAGAATAAAGGCTCCCAGCTGAAGAGCAAGGCTAAAATCCAGCAGAATGCAGTTGGGCTCCTCTATCATCAAAATGAGCATCCTATGCAATTTAAGTAAATGGGTCTGCTTAATGTGAGAGGCTTCCACAAACCTAAGTCCTAGTTCCATCAATAAAACCTAAGAGCATTCTTATGGTACATGAATGTTAAATATTCGGAATATACAAACCCTATTGTATGACAAAGCTTTCACAGTTAACTAGTTAGTTAGGCCACATTAAGTAATTAAACTTGGAACTTGACTTGGAAGAACAGATCCGGCGTACGTTGTCTATCCATATGTACGACATACGGAGTAGACTTTGTTATCCTTCCAAGTATAGTGATTCTTCTGCATGTAACGCAGTATCTGTCCTGCAGATGGTTGACACTGGACAGAGATATGGATCACATGATGTTTTATCCCGAAGACACCCGCTCCAAGTCGGGACGGACAGAAGAAAACTAACTGTTAAAGAACTGTCACCCACAACATGATGGTCAGAATTCAACCAGCCGAATCCCACTCTAGCAATGGAAGGACAGAGGCGCAGCCTAAACATGTTCGAAAATGACGTTGCAAAGTCACATCCTCCGATGTACGGACACTCCGACCCTGCTCTTATGGACGCGGAGACTGAGAGCAAGTATATCTCGCGGTTTCAGCCGCGGGTCAGCAAATATGTCGCGGTTTCTCACGACGCCTGCATAGAGTGCCACATTGACCTGTTCGGGACGGGCGGGATCGGAAAAGTAGTCGGTGGGATGAATGCGCATACGGCGGACTTTACAGCACTCTGCGCTCCAGAGGCATTACCGGAGAGAATCGGGCTTTGTTCTTACTTCATTGAGTATGCGTTCGTACATGATGGTGAGTGCTTACCTCTTGTTGAAATGGATTAGTTACTAACACGGTGTGTTGCTAGATGTGTCCGTGGACGCTGTTCACGATGGCCCTAGCTGCCGCCTTTCCCAGGACAAGGATGGAATTATATCAAAGGCATTAGGGTCGAAAAGGTTTGAAGACCTCCAGGACACCGCGGAAGGTGGGTTGAAGAGAAAGCAGGCCAGAGCAAAGATCTGGTCGGTCTTGAACGAAATCGACCAAGACTACCTTGGTCGTTGCCAGAAGAAGTTCAAGCAGTGGTACGAGACTGGTCAACAGATGAGGGACAAAACGTTTGCAAGTTTGGAGGATTACTTGGCTGTTAGGGCCTTGGATTGCGGAGCTAAGTTTGTGATGCATCCTTGTGAACCGTAAACTCCCGTCGCTGACAATAATAAGCTGGGTTGTTCACATGATGGGCTGGGCCAGCGGGGTCGAACTCACACCGGAAGAAGAGGTCGAAACTGGGCCAGTCACCTATCTGGCATTTGTGGTTCTTGGTGTGACCAACGATCTGTGGTCTTGGGAAAAAGAGAAGAGAGTGACGCGGCAGTCTGGGGATACTCTTCCCCTGATCAACGCCGTTCAGATGGTCATGCGGATGCAGGATACTACCGAAGAGTCCGCAAAACAGATAGTCCGTACCATTATCCGCGAGCATGAGGAGCAATACTGTCTCCTCCGTGATGAATATCTAGGAAGACCTGGTACCTCACTTTCGGTACAGAAATGGTTCCAAGTTCTCGAGTTGTCCATGGCAGGAAATGCACTATGGAGCATCCATGCCCTTCGATATCACCTTGACGTCCGAAATCCGTATATATGCCCTCCTGAACTTCCCTCAGTCTTCAAAGAATTGGAGGTAAAGCGGTCAAAACCGGAAAGCATAAAGAAGGGGAATGCCGGAGTAGGAAGTGTGGAATCTATTCAATGTCACCGGATCAGAGGCTGATCAAGCGCGTGCAGGCGAAGGTGAAACAGGTCCTACATACAAAGTCCTCGACGCATTGGACGAAACGGTATATCTTCCTCCCCATCCAAGAGGCCACGCTGATAACTGCAGGTTCTATGGAAACCGTACGAGTATATGACATCTATGCCATCCAAGGGTTTCCGCCATCACCTGATCGATGCTCTGCAGACGTGGTTCAATGTACCAGAGCGCTCGTTAATGCTGATTTCGGGGGTAGCATCCCTGCTCCATGAAGCCTCCTTGATGTGAGTTTCTACAACGTTGTCACTGTCTTGTCTCTAGGGTTGACCGCGCGCAGGTTGGACGATATACAGGATGGCAGCCTTCTTCGGCGTGGGAAGCCAGCCGTTCATAAAATATTTGGAGTCGGCCAAACCATCAACTCTGCATGCTTCCACATCAATAATGCCCTGCGCCTTGTACAACAGCTCTCACCCTCTGCCGTTCTGGTATTCTCCGGTCAGTCTTTTCCTAATCTTCTAATCAACAAAAGATCGTGCTGAAGCAGGTAGCATCTAATCAAGATGCAGGGGCTTCGATATGCGCCACTTCATGGACCAGCTGGGACGGTGCTTCCAAATCCGGGACGACTATCAGAACCTCGTATCCAAAGAGTACACGTCCCAACGCGGCTTTTGTCAGGACCTCGACGAAGGAAAGCCTTCGTTCCCGTTCATCCGCGCCTATCATACTCTGGAAGACAGCACGGTGCTGACGGAATGGCTCAACATGCTACGTAGTGGAGATGGGGCTTCGATAGAGGCGAAGCGATACATCCTGATTCGGATAGAAGAAAGTGGGAGTCTGAAGTATACACAGGATGTCCTCGGTCTCCTCCATGACAATCTAGAAGGTATGCTCCGGGACATGGAATCCATGACTCGGCAGGAAAACTGGATTCTCCGATCTATGCTGGTGCAATTGCAGATCAAACAGAAAGAGTCACAGCCAAAGGAGAGTACGTTTGCGGAAGTGCTGCGTGTTTGGGGTGGATATCGGGAGACGGCTTGGAGGTCGATGAATTGATCGTCAGTTTGGCCGAGTACCCCGTCATCAGGGGCCTGAGACAGCCATCCCTGGAGGGGTTCTCTGCAGCTATCCTGAATCCTCCCATGAAGTAATGGCAAGCATATCTAGAAAACTGCACAGCCAGGCTCTGTTTGACCGCTAAAAGCCACGTTATTTCGTGACCGGTCTGGCGGAAATAATCTCCTCAACCCGTATGAGATGCGTCTACTATAGCCCTTTAAGCAACGGCTGATTCCTCCATTGCCTGGATTGGGATGACATTGCCTAGGTCGGCTTGACTTTGCAGCCTCCCCAGGTACGAGCACGATAAGAATTAATCATCGGACCATCGTTCTCGCATCTCCGGGGTGATGTTTGCAGCTGTATGGGCAAACTCGGCATTGAGCCAGTGATCCCAGTCCCAATCAATCCAATCTAAAAATGCATAGTCTCTGTCCTTGCTTTTATTCCACCGAAGAAGGGGTGAAATGTACTCTCCCAGAAAATCGTTCAATTCGAACGGAATAGGATCATCTCGCCTGCGGTTAAAAAGAGCATGTGCAAAATCGATGAACACAACGCGGGGCTGGTCGCTGTCTGGCGAACTTATGATAATGTTTCGCGGCTCGAGGTCGGTGAGCAAAATGTCCTTTTCGTAGATCCGGCTCTCGATGTCCACAATTGACTTCAGAATACTTTGGCGAGCTGACTGGGAGAAATTTCTCGGCTCAGAATCTGCCATAGTGATTCCTTGGATATGCTCGACCAAAATCATTCGGACTGTCCGTGTGTGGACTGAATCGACAGATAAATTTAAGGAGTAGGACCCATAGTATTTCGGGATCCATTGGCCTTGAAACTCGCTGAGGAACATATATGCATTGGCCTCATGAGTGTAGTATTTGTCCATGCAAAGGAATGGGTTGAGGTACCCTTCATCGTCGTTGAAGTAGAGAGGGTCGTATACTTTTGCGACTAGTCGTGTGCCTTTCTGAGGAAGCATGTGAGATGTTGACTCACTGTCCAGTAGTTGGACTGTGAACACCTGAGCATTGTGGCCATCGCCTCCTTTCAAGACGTCGATGACCTTTAGACTGACAGTACCGTTTCCTTCTTTGCCAGGCAAGGGGGGGGTGCTTTAGACATCGGTCAATTGGACTCAGTTGCCTTCTTTCCTTCCTGTCTCCTTTACTATTGATGCAGCATTCTTGCACCACTGGTGTTGGGGATGAAACAATGTGAGATTTGATAGTGAATCTCCACCCGGGAGTATATGGCACCGGAGGCTTAGATAGCTCTGTTGACGGAGGCCCGAATATGGGCGAGGGTGGTTCAAAGTAAGTCATAACAGTAGAAGACTGCAATAGCCTAGATCAGTTATTTGTGACAATCAGGAATAAGGGCCGCTGTTCCACGGATATCCGGCATATTAATTCTCCGAGTGTTATGGGCGACTCGCAACGCGTGTAAGCGTGAGCTATCTTCACATCCCATCCCCAATGCTGCCGTGGAGACGACTTCATTCCGGTCTAGAGTTGCATAACCGAACCACTAAAATCGAATCTGACCCTCACCGAATTCGAAGCGATTTGGGTTCAGTCCCTAGCCTAGGGAATTGCACTGGTTTCAGTTTCCCTAGGGCAGAACTAATTCAAGTTCAGTTACAACTGTTAGTTGTGGTTTTTAAGGTTTTATCTACTAAGATTAACCAACCCTCACTATTTTGCTTAGTAATCACTAATTTACAGGATTTCTCCAAATATTAATGTCACTAGATAGCCTAGTGTCTAATCTATCCATATATGAAATATCAATTCAAAGTATTTAATGGTTAGTGAGATATAAGGGAATAATTATCTCTGTTATAGGTTGGTATGAAGTGGTGCTGGTTTATATATATGCGACTAACCATCATACTTAAATATAATTTTTTCACCACCACCCATTCAACCCTATAGATATTGAATTAATATTTTAGATTTAGATTAGTATCCTGATAATTGCCATATATTTCATCTAATAATAATAATTTTATATAAGCATGTTTGATAGGCCCCTAAGGTAGGAGAAATTGAATTCTAAAAACTGTTGAAATTAATCCTTTCAGGTTATAATCAAAACTGAACTGACCTGAATCTAACTATAGTTAGTTAGTGATTACTTATCTAGGCCTAGTGGTGGATTTTACAGTGAAACTTAAACTAAATTAGAATAGATCAGGTTTGGTTCTGATTTCTGAAATTTAGACATGAAATCACAGCAGTTTGGTTCTAACCGGGGTTAGAGTTGCCTGAACTCACACTGGATGCAACTCTAGTCCTGGGCTACTTGCAGCTGGTGGGTTTCCTGGAGACGTCACTGCGCCAGGCAGCTGGGGACCGCCACCTTGCACGCTCAGCAGATGATGGCATCGTAGTCGCGCAGGTAGTCATACAGGGTTGGCATGGCCATGCTGGAATGGGGTTAATCAGATGGCAGTGGTACTGTGGCCATGCATCTAAGAGTGGTAATATAGGAGGACTGGAAAGAGCAGATTAGTGCATTAAGTTTAAAGAGCAAGTCAGGGTGAGCGTATCACCATCCTCCTTGGATAGCCGGCTCAAGTTGTGAGAAACGGCGTTGGCTGAAATAATAAATGAGATTGTCTCTGTATGCCAGTATGGATGGAAGAGAAGCTTGGCTCTTGGTCTTAGTGGGACACTGGGTTAGCCCAACTGTATATGAGGTAAACCTGTGGTATATACAACTCTTCCTCTATTCCCAGCTGCTAGCGGCCGACGTCGGCTCAGAGTGTGATGGGACTGCTCCGGTTCTAAGCTTTTAATAACTTGACAAGGACTGTCAACAAGATTACTGAAGTGCCGGGTCCCCTTTGCATGCTTAGATCGTGGATAGCGAAGGCCTTGTCTGTTTGGTAAGGATTGACACTGGGTGGCTTCACTATCTTGGCTAAGAAGACTCGGAACTTGTTAAGCCGATAGCGATCTAACCAACTGAGGGTCTGCTGCAGTGACGTGGTTGGACTCTCAACTATGTGACAATCCGTAATAGCTATGAAAAGCTTATTGTTATTATTGTCTGATCCAAGTCAGCAGGGTGTAACATGAACACGCCCAACCTAGGAAAGATCCTGGATAATTGATGCTTGATCAGGCGGAAAACCACCGGCCTCTGTTATATTCAGCAGTCCAAAGGTCCCGATGGGGCATTACATTCTTTGAGATTTTACTGGTCCCTTTTAATTACTTACTCGTAGATAGCGTCTCCGGTTCTCCATGACCCATGTCACATAAGCTAGTAATGTTCTATGCACAGTTTCGCATAAAAGAAGAGCTGCCTGCATTGATTTCTACATGCCCTATAACCTACTAGATAACAAAGGCACGGATTATGGCCGGCGGAGGAAAAGGAAACTCCAAAAATTGCTTTCACCGGTGAAGTGTAGGATGGAGTATAAATACAGTGTCTTGAACATCACTGAGTAAGTTTCTTTTCTTATCCCTCGAGTCTTCCTTTTCTTTCCATAAGCCATCCTGCCACAGCATGCAGTGGATGTTCTATTGTTTTATCCTTGGAGACCTCTACGCGCTCTATATCCGATTTACAACAGGAGAATGGTCGTCCCTCGCACGGTACTTTCTGGTCTGCTCGCACTTGGCCTTGTGGGCTCGGGTCTTGCAGGCAATACTGATAGCACTGTGACCTACGAGTCCCCCATCATTGAGTCCTGGGACGGTGAAGAGACGAACCTGACCATCTCGTTTGACGTCGTGGGCGCTGATTACGCGCACCTGTACAATATAACTAACGTCCTGGCTGCGCGCACTGGCATCACTACTAAGGTTGCTGTCGCCCAGATTGCCAGTGTTGCCTCCCAGGTCATCATGACTGCCGGCTCCGCAGTCACTATTTACGAATTTATTGCTAGTATCATGAAGGCGAAGTCTGAGCCTAATTTGTGCGCCCTTGCCTATGGCACTGACTCTAATGGCACCCACACTGAGGGCTACGCCTATAAAGCCACCACCACTGGCAGCAACTGCGAAACTACAGCTGAGAAGAAGACACTTCTATCTGCCATGGAAAAGTGCGCAAATGCCCTGCACACTAAGGGGGCAGTATGGGGCTGCTGCACTATGCACCATGGTGGGACCTGGCATGGTCACCTCCGATTGTCGGGCGATCCGACTAACTATCTGGTGATGTCTGTGACTTATTAGAGAGAAACAGTTGGGCTGAGCTTGTACAGCAAAGTTAGAAGGAATAAATCTGTAGCAATGTGGAATCAATTAAGCTTGGGGCTGGTGGAGACCCAGGACTGAGACAGCCAACGTGGATTGCATATCCACTGGAGATTTGAGTGGTGATAGTTGGACTATTTCTACTAGTACGTGGAAGTAATCCGAAGCTAGTTGTTCCTAATTTAAACAAAGTACGTACGTACTATCATGGGTGAATTGCGTAGTCATACTCCACTTAGAGTGCGCAAGAATCGATTCGGCCGGAAAGTGCAAACTCAGCTTCAAAGCCATCATGCCATAGCGTCGCGCTTGAAATTCTGACATATCACCATTTGTATGCACATGGCAAGATCAAAAGTGGAAAGGGAGAATCTCCTCAAGCCTATAACTGAGAACAGCCACATAGAGCTTATCTTGAAAAAGGTTAGGGTGGCTAATTGTTTACAAGTTCTGTGGAGCTTGCATGAGACACTTGGAACAAATGCCCATGCTGGTGAGCCCATGAAAGACTAATAATGTTAGAATGATATTGGATTGCCGCAGCATCCAGGCCGTCTATGCTCTCGTCATCCACCATATTAACCAGGACACGGCCGTCTGCCAGTAACATTCCATAGTTAAGTTCTCGCCCATATAGGCGGCCCACCATAATGCAGTATGTCCATAATCATTAATGCTGTTACATTCTGTGCAGTAGTTATGAAGGATACTATTAACCACCTGCAGGCCTCTCTGATGCACTACTAGAGATAGTGCAGATTCCTGAGGGTAAGTTTCAGGTATTAATATTGAATCACTCCCTTCATGCAAGTAGTTACATTACCACACTGGAATGTCCTCGGTTATAGTGTCGCGCACCCATGCCGGGAAGCAGTGTAGGTGCGTGACGTGCATGGATATGAGATTTAGCATAAGCATGCATGGCATATATGATTGTGCTGATATTTATAATTGTCTTTGTAGACTGCGACCACTATTTTTACACATAATGGCATCTAGTTCTATTTCGATTGCTTGTGATGCTAGACTGAGGAGATCCTATCTACCATAAGCCCCAAATCCCATAAACACAAGGCTAGGAGGCATACCAAACACCAGTCTACACTAATATACGTACTTGGCACTGATAATCTCCCTCACCGCATACTCAATCGCGGCCTCATACCCATAAGTCCCCAACCCAATGATACAAGCAGCAGCCTTATCAGAGAGATAACTATGATGCCGGAACTCCTCCCTCGCATGCACATTGGTAATATGCACCTCGATAAACGGAATGGACACGCCGATCAGTGCATCTCGAATTGCGACACTAGTATGCGTGAACGCGCCAGGATTGATGATGATCGCATCGGTATGACCACGGGCTTCATGGATGCGGTCGACGATTTGTCCCTCGTGGTTGGATTGGAAAGATTCCAGTTTCACACCTTTGGATGCCGCCAGGGCTTTTGCATTGTCTTCGAGTTGGGGGAGGGTGGTGGAGCCGTAAAGGTGAGGTTCTCGGGTGCCGAGAAGGTTGAGGTTGGGCCCGTTGATGAGGAGGATGGAAGGCATTGCGGCTGTTATCAATGAGGGTTCCGGTTGCAGCGTTGATTCGTTCAAGCCGGGTCATCGCTTATATGGAGACTCGCGGCGAAAGACTTAGCCGACGGATATGTATATCCGTCGGTCACGGCGAGCAGTTGATCCCTATGGCGGCTGCTGGAGTTGAATTAGGAAGTCTGTGTCTAGGTCTCCGGCGCAAAAGCCAAGATTATGTGCGAATTCGGGCTCAAGTCTGCGTGGAATCAGCACAAAGAAGAGAAGAAGATGGCAGGATTTATACCTTGTACTAGGGATCAGGTTCGCCATCTCCTCAAACAACGCATCAAAACTATCAGCTTCGCCTGGCAGAGCTGGTGATGCTGTTGGAGCGGCTGATACAGGTGTTGCGTAGTGGCTCTGTAGGGGGTTTAATATCCCATTTTGGAAGGACTGGCCGGCTCTGAAGTCGGTCATTAAGGGGCTCCGCCATTCACCCGCAGTTTGGATAACAGCCGAGCAATTTTTGTGGCTGAAATTCCCACCCATCTGAAACTCTTGTGAGTATGTTGAAAGTCGACTTTTCAAGACGTCAATCTCAGTGCCATCCGCAGCTGAAAGATAACTCTCTAAGCACCGCCGGCACTGTAGAAAGAAGCAACGGAGAAGAGGTGATTTTTGATGTCCAGTCAATTTGACATAACGATCGAACAGATTAAACATACGTTGCGAGGTTTTGATGGTCAGATCGATCATATCGGCACTAGGTGACCCACAGTGGCGGACAAGTGCGAGAATCACAAAGCCGGCTGCTAGATGCAAGGTAAGAAGAGGCGGCGTAGCAGAGTCGGAACTGGGATCTGAGTACTGTGCTAGAAGAATCGCCTGTTGTTCCTGTATCTCGAGCAGGAGGGCGTGCAATTGAGCCAGGTCAACTGGACAGTACAATACCCGAGTTAGGAGCTGCATAAGCTGTCTCACAGCGTTAAACGTGCTCAACGCTCGTAATGGTCCTTTTGATGTGAACCCATTCCGTGCAGTCCAATGATCCCACTCCTCTACATCGTCTTCCTGCACGGGTCCATACACCAGCTGCTCTTCGAGAGACAAACAGGGCGATCTGTTCAGAAGGGCTGAGGCTATACTGTCGAGTAGGATACATGCGTGAACGGTATGGAGGAATCGGGACTTCGACAACGGAGGCAGCATCGTCACTAACCTTGTGACCTGACCAACCAGGACCCAGGCGAGTTTGATATCGCCGACCTGAAGATGTAGTAAAACAAGAATTAGGAGCGCCTGGATGTGGCCTAACTCCAGTTTGTCCGATTGCGACAGGATCCGGCGTTGGATGGAATGAAGTATTTGCATAGAGTTGGGTCGGCCGTGATTGTGGTCTGGATCGGTAACGGACGAATAGGCGATGACGGCCCACAACATGAGATGACATGTTTCATCCCGAGGCGTGGATCGGTGAGGATACGTATGCATCGCCCGGAGGACGTCTCGGCGCTCCAATATGGGAAACCAGCAGTGGGTATGAGTGAAGTAGAGCTCCAGTAGGTCAGACGTGTTGTCTGGAATAGGCAAGTCAAGCACTTCCTTTGGTTCAACTGATATAATCGGTTGGACCTGTGGGGGTATCTCTTCCGTCGAGATGAAGGGTTCAGAGCTCTCTATAGTGGGTATAACATCACGATTCTCCAGTTCTTCCCACTCAGCCTCATCCTCAACAGAGTCTTCCATCGACGTCTCCTTCCAACCTGGGACGAGCATCTGCGATATACCACGGTTCACCTGGGAGTTGCGCCATGCTGCGACTGCCCGATTCCTGGCTTTGGCAGCACCGCACTCGGCTAGTAGACCACGCAAGATACCCTCGCTGTTGGGAATGTTTATGAATATCAGACCAAGAGCTGTTTCAAGGCTTCTGACATAACCAGACGGCAATCCTCGTCGGCCACCACCAGCCTCGTATGTACATGTTCGACCCGCCGAACGGCAGATCTCACAGACCGGTTGTGCCCCATCGCATTTGGACTTACGCCGGCGGCATTGGTCACAAGCGCGACAAATACGCTGCCTCTTGGATGGTCTAGAACTCGACATAATTAGGGGGAAAACAACGATACAATCTAAGCCATGCTAACAATCAAATGGAGGATGGAGTGTTGTCTGCAACGGGGGGGCAATCGAGGCACGTGATAGGCAATGTATTTAGCCGGCGATTCTGCGGTTGTCGACGACGACATGCAATCAAGCAAAGGTCAAATCAATTCAGAGAATGCGAACAGTCATGAGATAATCCCGTAGCAAGCGATATGCATACTCGTGCATCGACCAGAAAGGCCGAATCTTCAATGATTTACTCTCGAAAATACCATCCCGATGCCACGCTCTTGCTTATTGGATTCTTCGGGGCGGGAAAGAAGACCCTTGGCATCATCGCTTCGGTAGCATTGCACCGCCGCTTCATCGATTTCGAAGCTTTCTTCCGGGAGAAGACCGATTTGTCGCCGCAGGCCTATATCGCAGCGCATGGATCGGCTCAGTATCGCACTGTCGAGGAAGATCTGACCCGAGAGCTGCTCACAAAATGCAGCAACGGCTGCGTGATTGTCGGTCTTGGAGCTTTGGCGAGCAACCAGCAGCAAATCTTGTTGAAAGATTTCGCACAGGAGCATCCCGTGGTCTACGTGAGGAGGGCTGAATCGGAATTGCGACGGTACGTGGGTACCGGTACCAGCCAGGACAAGTTCGAACGCGTCTGGCAGGTGGGCAATACGTTCTTTGAAACCTGTTCCAATTTCGAGTTTTACAACCAGACTCATACCGATAGTCGGGACTTTGAACGTCAGCTTCCTTCAAGTCTGAAGCTCAAAGAGACAGAACGGCTGTTCGTCGAGTTCGTTCGGCGCATTTACGGACTGTCGCACCGGTCTCCTTTCTCATCTGAGGTGTCTCCTGAGGTGCACACGTTCGCTTTACAGGTACCACTGGATTGGTTGGATTCGTGCGGGAATTTTGAAATACTGGATTCTGGAGCTGATGCTATAACCTTGCTCATCGACATCGACGTCGACGGCAAGGATCAGAACCGACTGCAGAGTCAACTAGCAAGACACATGGCCACTTTGAGACTGCACTCTCGTGTCCCTGTAGTCGTGGATATCGGATTCTCACCTAGAAAAATAGACACCTATCGTTTGGTGCTGGAAATGCTTCTCCGACTTGTTCCAGACGCTGTGACCTGCTCTCTCTCCTGCCCGGATGAAATCATCCAATGGTTGAATAGTACAAAGGGAAGCATCAAAACGATTGCAACATGGCATCAACCGACTCCGTTGGGAATAGATGCGTCTCAAGATGCTCACATCCCTGTCGAGAAAGCAACCCAATTTGGGTTTGACTGCATTCGCATAACTGGCGAGTCCTTTTCCATTGAAGACAACCTCGCCTGCGTTGCCTTTCGTCAAAGACTGATACAGAAATCAACCATCCCAGTTATTGCTTACAACACTGGAATCTCCGGTCGAGCGTCCATATGCCTGAACCCTACTCTGTCACCGGTGGTCCCCACTTCCATGGACGCCACAGCCGTCACACTCTTAGACGCGCAAAAAGCCCTCACATCCTGCTACCTGACCACAAAGATGCGGTTTACCCTGGTCGGCCAAGCACTAGAACATACTCTGTCCCCCGCAATGCACGTCGCAGCGTACACAGCCTGCGGGCTTCCACATAGCTACGAAGCTGTGCAAGCAGCGACGCTCTCCGAAATACGCAGGCTCCTCGAAGATGGAAGCCGCAGCGGCGTAGCGATCTCCATCCCTTACAAAACAGCCGTCCTACCAATGTTGGACGAAATCAGTCCAGATGCCAGGGACATCAATGCCGTCAACACAGTTGTTATCAAGCGGCGCCGTCAAGATGGACAAATGGCCACCACGCGAAAAGGGTATAATACTGACTACATCGGAGTGAGGAATTGCATCCACAAGCATCTTTCCCCAGCAAACGCCATCCGGGATGGAACAACAGTTTTAATTATTGGGGCGGGCGGCATGGCACGCGCAGCTATCTATGCCTGCTACAAGATGGGTGTCCGGCAATTTTGCATTTACAACCGTACGCTTGAGAACGCTAGCAAGTTGGCAGAGTATTTCCATCATTGGACTCATCGGTCTGGCACCCACCTTGAGCTTGAAGTCATTGAGTCGATAGAAAAGCAGTGGCCTACACGCTTCCGCCAACCGACTATAGTCATTTCTTGCCTCCCTGGCCAGCAGGTGGGGAGTGAGGAGATGGTCGATGTGCGGATATCCGAGCGATGGCTGCAGAGTACCACTGGAGGAGTATTCCTCGAGGTATGGCTTTCTTTTCCCTCTTTTTTTCTTTTGTCGAATTCGGCTGACTGAGTAGGTTGCGTACGGCCCGTGCAAAACCCCGCTGATGGAGCAGATGCTTCCTTTTGCAACGAAAGGATGGGTGGTGGTGGATGGACTGAGTCTTCTGGTTGAACAGGGTATTGCCCAATATGAGATTTTTACTAAACGGCCTGCTCCGGTTCATGTCATGCGGAAAGTGATATACGAGCTGTCGAAGGAGAATGGGTATCTTCACCGGTAGAAATCATTATGAACTATGTGGCCAATTTTACTCAATTCGGATATCATACTATAGGATCACCTGAAAAGTCCTTTTAAACATTCGTATTACATGATCGGTGGCTCCTGTAATGTCTACAGAAGCTATATCTACCGTCGGCTAAGAGAAAGACCGAGATAAACATGAAGGGGAACTTGCCACCACACAAGGCAGTCCTAGCTGACCTTTTAAACAGGACCCAGAACAGAAAGAAGACCTCAACTACATCCGTATCTATTCTCAGTGTGCGCATCACGCATCAATATCAAACCGACAAAATGACCTACCAACCTGCCATCATGAGCGCTTCACTCGGCCGCGCCTGGCTGCACGACCTATCCTACAAAATCGACCAAGCCGCCGCAGCAGGCTTCCAAGGTCTAGAAATTTTCTATGAGGATCTCGAGTATGAAGCACGCAAGCTGTCCGGCACGGATAACCCAACAACTACCCATCTCCTTGCAGCAGCAGCGCACATCCACGGCATATGCACCACCCACGGCATCACCATCATCGGCCTCCAACCCTTCCTCTTCTACGAGGGCCTAAAGGACCGGACGCAACACACGCATCTCCTGGAGAAGATGAAGCTGTGGCTTCAGCTTGCCAAAAGCCTACACACAGACACCATACAAATCCCCGCCAACTTCCTCCCCGCGGAGCAACTCATCGACGACAGAGATATCATTGCGTCTGATTTGAGACTATTGGCCGACCTAGGTGCCGCAGAAACACCTGCCATCCGATTCGCATACGAGCCTCTCTGCTGGAGCACGCATATCGACACTATCGAGAAAGCCTGGGACGTCGTGCGCCGGGTCGACCGTCCCAATTTTGGGGTTTGCCTGGATACGTTCAACATTGCGGGCCGGGTGTGGGGGGATCCGGTTACGCCGACAGGGCGAACGGATAATGCGGATCAGGAACTACAGAAAACGCTGGAGTGGATGGTGAAGGAGGTTGACGTGGAAAGGGTGTTTTATATACAAGTTGTTGATGCGGAGCGGATGCGTACACCACTGGTGGCTGGCCATCCGTTTTATGCGGATGGGCAGCCGGCGAGGATGAGTTGGTCGCGGAATGCGAGGACATTTATGTATGAGGATGAGCGCGGGGGGTATCTGCCGTGCGAGGAGGTCGCCAGGGCGATTATTCAGGGAATGGGGTATCAAGGGTTCGTGTCCATGGAGTTGTTCTCAAGGACGATGTCGTCGGAGGGAAGCCATGTTCCTGTTGAGCATGCGCGGAGGGGGATCAAGGCTTGGGAGATGCTGAAGGAGAGATTGCAGTTGCAGTAGAAACTCGAACCGTAAAGCAAAACGCAGAGACATAGGCAAGTTAAATCTCAATATGTTTCCCATCCAGCCAATCCTTCGCCAGTCTGTACAATAAATCATGCTTTTCACCACAAACTCCCTTATGCCGTCTATGCCCCGGCATATCCCTCAACACCGTAACGCCCATCGTCAACTCCTGGCAGTACGCCAGGCACTTATACCCTTCGGGATACCCATTTAACTTCTCCTCATCTAATTTTGGAAATCGCCCCGGAACAACAGGAACAAGCCTATCCTTCTCATACCAATGTCGCACAAGCCGCGCCCCCCACCGCCCATCCACCTTCTCAAAGAAGAAACAAAACCGGCAATCGGCTTCGGCGTCGACCTCGCACCCATCCAGGGTAAACCGCTGCGTAATGGTTGCCTTCATCTTCGTTACTGCACGCAGCGCATCAGGGGTAATGTCGCTGGTTACCCCGTGGCACCGGTGCATGATGAAGGCGCCCTTGTCCATGCCGGCCTGCGAGGCGGCAATGAAATCCGCGTAGTGCACGCGGCCGGACCAGGTTGTGTATACGTATGCGTCGGCGTGGAATATGGAGGAGAAGTTCTCCCATTCGCAGGCGTCGCTAAACATGTCAGCAAGTAGGGGAGGGGAAGGTGGAGGGGCTTACCGGTAACAAGGCCAGCCTTCAGCGAGTTCGCGGAGCTTTGCGCGCTCTAGGACCAGATTGTCTGGGCCGTTGTTGCGAATGGCGAGCGAGGGCCAAGTGCCTTCAGGAAGAGAGTGTAGGTTGGGCATTTCTGGTTGCTTCTGTAACTGTTCTTGTTACTGCTATGAGGGTAGTCTGGAGAAAAGCGCTGCGTATAAATATTATATATGATGGTCGTGTTTTGTGTTGGTCTGGTCCATACGGCTAAGGTCATTGCCGAGTTAGCTATATACTTCCACTTCAGTACTGGCTGCCATTGTCGAGATAGTTTCTTGTCTGTATCGTTCAGATTTTGGTAAGAAAAAAAGATGTGCATAGAAAGTAATTCAGTTTAGAACAGTCCTTGTGGCATTGTAGAGCTAATTGATCGCCGTACTCTCCTCGGCAGCCTTCAACAGCACGTCCCAAGCCCCCTTTCGATCTAGATTCATTACATTCTCCTCGCCAGCCCACAAGCGCCACTGCTCCTCTATCTGATACATGATTACATGCGTGCCCTCCACACACGGCCATCCTAGCCGCTCAGCCAGTCGAATCATCCTAGTCCTGCGCGGCTTGAAACACATGTCCAATAGCACCCCCTTCTCTCCCCGAGCCAGGAACGATTCGAGTATCTCAGCCACAGCACGCTCAGGCTCAGTCTTCGGCTCGTCATCCGGCACTGTCCCGACTACATAGTACGGAGTAGCCAGCGCACCCGCCTGCTCAATACTCTTGACATGGGTTATGGAAGGGGTAACAGGCAATCTCTGCGTATCCGCGATGAGAGCATCCACCTCCCCCTCATCCCGGTTCAGAATGTAGATAGTCGGACAATTCAAATGCACGGCAAGCGCATAGACAGCCGCACGGCTCGCGCCCCCTGCTCCGACAATCAGCGCGCACCCTGTAGAGGTAGCAGACGGCCGCTGGCCCTGTCCTTCTTTTTCCAGGAGACAGCCCTTAATACCCAGCCAATCAGTATTTGTGCCGCAGAGGCGACGGTCAGCCCCGTTCGTACGGTAGTAGACGTTATTGCATGCGCCGATCATGGCGGCCAGATCATCCGGCTCGTCAAGGTGTGGAATGATGCTGTTTTTGTACGGCATTGTGACCACGAGGCCGGCTGTAGCAGGAGATTCTGCTAGTGTCAGGACATCGGCGAGGGTCGGGCATTCTGTTGCGTGAAATGTCCAGGGAAGGTGGAGGGATTTGGCGATATGGGTGTGCATGCCTGGGGCGATGGAGTGGGTGACACCCACGCCGACGAGATGGAGCTTTTTTTGTGCAGAGGGTTGCACCATGATGCTTTGTTTGAATGGTAAATTTGAAAGGAAGGCTGTGAAATTGTGTGCTGAGTTGGATGGCTGTATAGATGATGGTATCGGTTAAGGTCTCTCCGCAGCGGATATATCCATAACCATGTCGGCATCCAGCGGCCCTATCAGATGGAACAACGGTTCTAATTACTGAGAGGGGTTGGCATCTATGCCTGCTACAAGCTGGAAGTATGTCGTTTAATCTCTGGCAGTCAAATCGCGTAGAGCCTGCCTACTCTCATTCATGTATTTGCCGAAGTCCATGATTCTGAATGTAGGGTAAATGCATGCCCGGGATAGCAAGATTAATGGTTATAGGTAGTTATAGGTAGAGCAACTTAACTCTCATTACCTCAACCAACAACTTAGACATCCCCCTCTTGACGAAGTCTTACATACCAATGATGGCACCTGCACCGAAAAACTTCTACATCTTCGGCAGCGGCATCTCCTTCAGTATCTCGCCCACTATCCACCACGCCGGATTCTCTCACCACAATCTCCCGCACACATACCAGATCCGCGAGTCAAAGTCCATCGATGATGTGGCCACTTTAATCGCCGACAATACCTTTGGCGGTGCTAGCGTGACGATGCCACACAAACTCCACGTGCACCGATTCTGCGATACCCAGACCGAGACGGCACGGCTAATCGGCGCGATCAACACGCTTATCGTCACGGATACTGGCGCGCAGCGACTCATTACCGGCGATAACACGGATTGGTCTGGTCTGCATACTCTGATTGTGGAGTACACTTCGAGAACACAGCACCAGCTGCAAACCGGTCTGGTCATCGGGGCTGGTGGCGCATCCCGCGCGGCGCTCTTCGCGCTTCACAAAGCCGGCGTGCGGCGTATCTACCTTGTCAACCGGACGCTTGCGGTCGCGGAAGAAGTCAGAAGTCATTTCTCGGGGCTGTTCGAGGTGATTGCCGTGCCTAGTCTGGGAGAGTTACCGCACACCCCTGACGTGATTGTGGGCACTGTTCCGGCAGAGACGACGACTGAGGAGCAGTTCGCTTGTCTGTTCGGAGATAGGGGGCTTTGCATTGATATGTCGTATAAGCCGAGGCAGACGCCGCTGCTCACGGTGGCTCAGCGGCATGAGGGGTGGGCTACTGTAACTGGGGTCGAGGTGCTCCTGGCGCAGGCGTTTGATCAATTCCGGCTGTGGACGGGGCTGGAGCCGCCGAGGGAGAAAATGGTTGAGGCTGTGATGGCGAGAGAGGGGCGTGTTGAGAAGTCTCCCCTTGGTATGCTTTGAGCTGATCTCTTTAAGAATACGTTTATTTCCTAGAGGTTAAAGGTAGATAATATGGACATCGTCACCGTCAATGGAGCCCATGTAGACCCAGGTGTATCAAATATAACATATCACATCTCGTTCATGGCTGCAATCATCACTAATGTACTGGCCATAGCTTTGACATACTACTACTAGTAACCTTCCTGGATAATACAGTCTGTATTTCAGCAGGAGGAGTATCATAGTGATTATAAAGTAGCAGAGACCAGCAGTCAGGGTGTGATAGTGGTTTACTAGTATCCAGCTGCCTTTCTTACGGAAATGCCTTGCCTTCTATATTACTGCTCCAGGATTAGGCGGATACATGAGTATACTAGAATAAATCAATCGCCAACTGCCAGCAATTGTCATTCTCAGAATTGCCCTATATAAATGCTACTTAAAATAAACCTGAAACACAGTTTAGACGGTTACTAACAGGCAAAAAAAGAAAAGGAAAAAAGAAGTTAACCCGGGAATCGGTTGAATGCATTTTGTACAGGGTAGAATGACAGACAACGAGGGAAGTTGGTTTCTCTAGGTACAAAAGCGTGACACTATTTCCAACTCATCCCGAATCAGCTCAGCAAGGTTTAGTCCCTATGATGATGGTTTCCGAGTAATCAAACTTTCGCAAACTCCAGTTGCTGGTCTACCACATCCCGCACCATCTGCTCCCATGAGTGCCATCGTATCCCTAACTCTGCTTCTGCTTTGCTACTGTCGGTCGAGAGAAACTCTTCCTCAATATCTGGTGTGATCTTTGCCCCAAGGCCTGAATAGTTCCGCTGAATGACATCTGCCACCTCTTTCCAGGTCCCGCCCTTCGCTGAAAGCAGATACCTCGACCCGTCTGGGATGGCTGGATCCAGGGCTTTGAGGTGTGCTTCAACCACATCATTAATATGCACGCCAGGAACCTGGGAGTAAGAGTGATGAGGGACGCCTGTCATGATAGCATACCACAGAAGACCATTTGAAGATTCCTGGATCTCCTCAGCAGTGGTCTGCGCCGGGTTGCGTCCGTACACAAATGCAGGATGGAGTGTTACCAAGGCATACTGCGGCTTGGCGGTCTTCTGGAATTCCCATGCTGTTTTATTGGCGAGCAGTTTCGATGCATGGTACAACCGCATAGGTATTCCTCGTGGGTCATTCGAGGCTGTGAAGTCTTCAGTCTCGTCAACATCGAAGTCCCAGTCGTTGTCCTCTGGGATGGTGTCAGTCCAGTTACGATATAGACGGCCCAGGAACCCTGAAAACGCACCTTTGACGACGCCACCAGACGGTATGCCGTCCAGGGGCATCAAGGCCGCAATCGATGAGGTGATCACGACCTTCTTGATACTTGGTACTCGAGCAGCCTCCTTGAGCAAGGCAGTCGTCGCTTTCACAGCTGGAGTAAAGTAGTACTCCTTATCGGTGCCACTGGGAAGAGGATGTGCGAGATGGATGACATAGTCTGCTCCATCTAACAGTCCTCTGAATTCACCTTCAGCTGTCCAATCGGAAACAGTAACAAATTCCACTTGCTCGCTATACCCTGACAGCAGATCCTGTAATTTGTCTGAGGGCTTTCGAACACAGATTCGCAATCGATATCCCGCTTTGAGTGCTGCCATCGCGGTGGCACTGCCAAGGAAACCTGTTGCACCGGTGATGAAGACCAATTGACGCGCCATGATGTGTAAAGCCAGAACTCAAACAATGGAAAGTGTAGAATAGTCAGGTGCTTCTTCTATCCTTCTGCTGGATCCGGTCCTAGAATTACCACAGTTTTATCTCCAACTGAGGTCAAGGCTTCCCAACGGATCTATCATCTTAGACCCCCCATTTAAACCATTCTAAGAAGACAGATCCACTCAGATGGTAATATTATACATAATGTGGGAAGATTTGAGGCTTATGTTTCGTGTCGGGGCGCCGGATCCCGCTCCCCTTTGCATCAGACCGCTACCGCATTCGCTTCCCCCTGACCTCATTCTGGCTCTGATGCTCAGTTGTGCTCTTTTGGCAGCCTACGTAGATCATCTTATGCTAAACGATTGAGAATGCCTTTGATTCGCTTGAACTGATGGGAAGTCTAATCGCCAAAAGCACCGAAAGATGCAAAACAGTATTTACCATCCTTCCAAAGCAGTGAATTTGGCCAGGACGCCATCCTTCGGGGCAATAGTCGCTCCCTCTCGCACCTCCAGTGGAGCGTCGGGGTATTTCAATTCGAATTCAAAGCTACCGACCACCGCAGCGAGGAGACATGCCAGTTCCGCCTTAGCGAATACCTGCCCAATGCAACTGCGGGGACCGTGAAGGAAGCTCAGGAAAGCGTAGTTGCTGGCTGCGCCACCGGTGTTGGCCTTACCGGGGCCCATCCATCGATCTGGGTTGAACTGTTCCGCGTCTAGCCCCCAAAGCGCCGGCATGTGATTAACAAGTTCCGGCGAAATGACGACCTGCGTACCCTTGGGGATAGGATGCCCCATCAGGGTGGTGTCTTTTAAAGCCACGCGGACGGTATTTGGCACAGACGGGTGGAAGCGAATGACTTCATTGCAGACGGCATTTAGATACTGGAGGCTGTCAATGGTTGCAGCGTCGATCAGACCGGGATTCTCGACATTGATCGGTGGCAGGTTGGCGCGGACTTCGTCACGCAGGCGGGCCTGAACATCTGGGTGCTTGCACAGCGCATATATCGCCCATTGAAGCGCCCCAGCGGTCGTCTCGTGGCCGGCGCCTAGGAAGGTCATCAACTGGTCGACGAGGTTGTCATCGTCAAAGTTGCCACTCCGCATTGCGACGGAAATGATGTCGACCTCGGCCTCTGCATTTGGATCCTCCATCTTTACCTTCTGCTCGCGAATCATCCGCCGCGTGGCATCACGGATATTGCGGCAGCCCGTGTCAATGAGCTTATTCTGCTTGGTGGGTAGCTTTGCTAGCCATGTCGTATTCCCAAGGAGCATTCCAAGTATGAACAGGATCTTTGTTCCCAGACCCGGTGTGGCGAAGATCATTTCGTAAGATTGGCTGAGACTGTTTTCAGGGTCTTGCAGGGAGCCGAAATCCCGGCCCATGCCTGCCAAGCCAATGATGTCCAGCGAGGATCGACTGGCCCAGGTTCTCACTTGGATTGTGTTATCGTCTGGGGCTTTTCTGCTCTGCAGATCCTTTCGGATCAACCTGGCCATCTCCGTGCCCTTGGACCAGAAGACAGGATAAAGATCCTTGACATGGCGGTACGCAAAAGCTGGCTTGAGATTCTTACGTTGAAACTACACGGATGGTTGTGAGATTCAAACGAGAAACGGAATGCGCATTGCTGTTTCTTACCTTGTGCTCCTCGCCTTCGGCAATCAGGATGCCATTGCCCAGCACGCGCCTCAATGTTTGCTGTATCACCAAGGGCTTTGCGAAGTCGTAGGCCTTGCTCACCAAAATTTCGCTTAGGACAGCAGGACTGGTTATCGTGAGCCTTTCCATGTTTCCCACAATGTAGTAACGAAGAATTCCATCATTGGGAATAGTCTTGGCCCACTCCTTCATTAGCGCATGCGGGGTGTCGACGAGCAGACTACCCGTATTGCCCGTGAGCCAGTGCCGTTTCTAGATGCAAGTCAATTCCGAGTCCAGTATGGCAAGGGTGGACTTGATGGCTCACTGGTGGGGCCGGAAAGTGTTTCAACGGCGTGACGAACTGAGGGTAGATAAATAACTGATAGAGCAACTTTGATATGGTGATGCCTGTAATCAGCACGGCAATGGTCGCGATTCTGGAGCCGTAGATGGCGCATTCTGGACTGAAGTAGACACCGGCGGCTATGCCGAGGCAGAGGACACCAGAGTAATTGCGAATGGGTCCCATAGTGGTTGTTGGGTCTTCAGAGTGAGGCCGCGTTTTCTGGTGGCGGCCACCCTTACTTCAATGATCTAGAGGATCAAATCGCTGGCCGACGGCTTGGGCGTTGGCTCAAGCCTTGTGCCACCTGAGACCAGTCATATGATTGGTTTCCTTTTTGTGTAACTTCTACCACAGCCAAGCCTTGAAACTTCTAATGCCACCGGGGCTCGGGCGCCGTCTCCGCGGTCGACTGTCTGACAGGTACTCGGTATCAGTATAGGGCAGAGTGCTGGGGTCCCACTTTAGACAGATTGTCTGTGAGCACATATTTGATTGCACGCGACTAATCTCTTGTAATAGACTGCATTGGCTGCCCTTTAAGATTCCTTCGCTGCCAGTTCTTTTCCATGCCTACAAATTCGCTCTGAGAATTCGTCTCGTCTTTATATATAGTTTAGCCTTTCCCCCAAATCGCACCTGACTGACGGGCTATCAGCGCTGGCCCCTTGGTTGATGCCTTTCCAAAAGAGAACAGACTCTCCCAGGGCTTCCATGGCCAGAGAATTGAAGTTTTCGTTCCCGGGAGCCGACTTCCCGTAGCTCCTCAATTGCGACAGAAACTCATCTGAGCCTCGAGCTAACTCGCCGCTTGTCGCGGTGATTGGACCCATGGGCGCAAACGAACCATCTGGATCTTGGAAAACGGCACCATCGAAGCGTGAGTCATAGGTTTCTTGAACTTCTGAATTCATGTAGCTGTAACCGGTGGTTGGGGGCGAGAGTAGCTCTGACATCAAGTAAGGATCTGTTGGTCCTTCCGAGGTCGGCTTCTGCCGTTTGTGCTGAGTCTTCCTGGCCTTGACCACGTCGGTGACAATAAGTGACAGCTGGTATAGCCGTCGATTGTATGAGGCTTCTGCGCGGCAGTCGGTAATGGTCTGGAGCATCTCAACGAATTCGTGAAGCATGTCGATGTCCCGATTGGACCCTCGACCACAGAGGACGGATGACAGTACTTCGTAAAGATATAGTGACGGGAGTGAGGCGAGAAAGCTATATCGGAACCAAACGGTCAGTCTCAGCCATTTGTGGTTCAAAAGATACAAGGCAGTCAGAGAGAGAGTCATTACAATGAGAA